TTCATTAGGTCTTGTCCTATATTCAGCAACATTCACCCCGAGCTTGCCAAGCAACGGCTGAAACATTTCACGTCTGACTAGGCAAGCCAAGGAACCCATTTTCATTAGAGTGGAAATCTGCCAAGTGCATTATGACGTTTGTAATACCTCTTAACAGTGTTCCAGTACTCGTACTCGTATACTTTGTACTTGTATTCGCAAGACTAAAATTGCCTGTTCTCGTACCGGTACTTGTACTCGTGCTCGTGGAAAAGTACTTGTATCTGTACTCGTACTCATGAAGTTGTTCTCCAGTTGGAATTGTAATTTTTTGAAGAGGCATATGCAGGAAGAACCCATTGTTTATTGTTTGGTAGACTTTTGCATATGTTTGATGGCGAGTCTGTCAAAAAGTGCTTCTGAATGTGTGTACTCAAATCTACTAGAACTCATGGAAAATTACTCACACTTTTCGTACTCGTGAAACTGTACTCGTAATCATAATCACGGAATTGTATTTGTACTCATACTCATGGATTAAATTGTTTGAGTTATTCAAAACGAAGAGGAATCTAGATGACTATTTTTGACTTCCCTGAACCGCATGGCTTTATGAAATGCGAATAAATTGATTTTAAAAAAGAGCGCCATCTAGCATCAAAAGAGGTCTCCCCCCCCCCCCTCCCACTGAAAAATCCTGAAAAATCCCGACGATTCTTGGATCCTTTGTGTTCAAACTGGATCATGCCAGTTCTTCCACGTGCAAGAACTGGCACGCTGTGCATGAGAGCCCCAGTGGGAGAGTCACATTGCGTGCAGGCTCTGCTTCCTGTGCGTATGGCACGGTAGTATGCCAACTAATTTTGTTCTAAATGTGCACAAACCCATGGCCTCTTTGCATGATAGTGCTGAGGCGCCCTTTGCAGTGCGCTGGATCGTCCCTCCCAGTGGTCTCCCCCAACTCTCCATGTGTAACAGAGTCCATATTTGTTCCCATGTGGATACACAGGCATTTGAAGGATACACAGGCATTTGAAGGATACACACGCAAACGTGTGTTCACCGTCGATCGTGGACGTCCTATTGTCCCTCTTTTGTTTGTACTCTTTTTAGGAAGACTCCCATTGGTTTTGTACACGACCCCAATCGCGGACATATGCTGGGAATCGTGGACGATATTGTTCTCTTTGGTTCTCTGGTATTTTTCGTCCACGGTTCGAAAAGATGAACACGTACAGGCATTCTCAGTGAAACGAAGTGCAAACTAGACCATCCCGGAAACACCCCTTAGTAGCCCTTCCCACTTTTTGGTGGGTGTACATATCTCACGGTGCTTGTGACTGAGTTTGAATGAGCTACCATGGTCACCTGACCAAACGTCGTGATCTGATTGGCCCATGGGTACTGTGTGATTGACAGTCAGGAAGGGTCCATTGAGTTTGGAAAGGAAGCATTCCTGATGCACATTATGCTTCAGTTCGGACATGCTACTTGCATGTAATTTGGCCTAGGAGTTGTAATGTGCTCCACGTGTATCGCATTTTATCTCAATTTCTGCTATGAAGACAAGACCTGGAAGATGGCTATGAGAGATTAAAAAACTTACGAACTTTTAAATAAAACAAAACAACCCCACGTTTTCATTCAGAAAATCTGTAAAGAATGATAACAGAATTTAAAAAAAAAAAGTGCACTTCCCAAGGAACTGTTTGCAAGTGCCCCAGCTGTCACTGGACAGTCTCTGCAGATCTGCAAAATTTAACAAATATTTTCCAAATTTCATAGCAATGTCAGTCATATTTATAAAGATAGACCATCTTATCACGAGTTACCACGCTTTGAGCAGCGCTTTGAAAGAAACACGTAACTGGAAATTGAAAAAAAAAAAATCAGGCCACAAAATATTCAAAACAACCGGTACCCAGCACCCATGGAAGCCGAGGATAAGGCTGCAGACATCCTGTGTTGCTAGGGAGACCGCTGCGGGACCAAACCTCATTTCCTAATCGGATTAAGCCGGAGTTCAAAGACCTTTAGCCTCTCAGCAAAGCCAAGGAATGATTTCATTTCATTCGGCTAAGGATAAGAATGTCACTTGTTCCTCAACCAAGTAAGCAGTTACCAGCTCAAATGCCATGTAATGGACATGGCTTTTGACTGGTTCTCCGTTAATTCTTGAAAAGCACATGACTTTATGCCAAACAGCTTTGTGCAATTGGTAGAGTCAATCGACAACCATTTCTAAAATTCAGCTCTCGGACATCAAAAACAGTTGATTTAATCTTTTCCATAATTAAACTGATTGTTGTCCCAAACAAAAACTAAAAAGACGTTGGAATTTGTCCACCTGACAAAGATTCTGCTTGAGTCAAAACGTCCGACCCTCTTAACTTTTTTACAGTTCAAAAGTTCATCTCTAATCGTGGGCGGGGGAACATTGTACCAGAATAAAAAAAAGTAGGTCTTACGTGACCCAACCTTTAAGAAGTACCTGGGGAATCAGGTTGGAAGGAAGGGGCCGAAGCGGAGAGAGAGGGAGAGAGTTTAGCTTGGCCCAGACAGAATGGCAACAGTGGTGGTCACGAAGTTTCAACAGGTTTACACGGGCTGTTTCGATAGCCACTCTTTGCTTTTTTTAAGACTGAATCTCTCTGACTCTTAAATGTGCGGTATTGCAGCCACTACCTCAGTGTGATGGGATGTGGAATGGTGGCAGTGACCCGATTGGTATGGTTGTCTTTCTATGGAGAGTTTTAGAGAAGCTCTGAAGTTGTCGGTTGTGTGTTCTTGGATGTGGGCTGTTACCCACCAGTAGGCCCTGTTTCTACAGCACTGTAGGACACTGTGGGAGATGGTTCATGGAGTTCAAATAACAGCTGCAGAGGAAAATGTGCTTCAGCCTGTTGAGACCAGGTGCCGCTGATCCATGAGGGTATTGCGACTGACCTTGGATGAAGATTGGTGCCAGTTCTTACATCGAATAGTAAAAGCACTTGTCTTGCCTTGCCTTGCCGTGCCCTGATCCCAACTCCGAGAGGATTTGTTGGAGGCTCCATGCTGACAAACTGCACACCAGTCTCTTCCATTCCTGGCCGTTGTGTGCCATAGCCTGGGTCTTCGCAAATGTCCTCCGGACAACTCCACTTCGTTGTCTGTCCACCTTTCTTCTATCCACCTCTCCATCCCTTCCCTGCAACGGTTCCTTGAAGATGGTTTTTGCAAGACCGCTGGACTAAAAACCAGAAAAACTGATGAGAACTGATGTTCCTATAAACTTGGATCACAATCCTCTAAGATATCGCACGGGCCTCTCAGCCTTTCAGATTTCTTTTCGCATCATACCGTTTGCAGTGAAAGGATCACTATGTCGTGACTTTTTAGTCGTTCGCACAAGATGTCCAAGAAGATGAGGAAAATGTGCGAGCTGAGGTCTGCGCTCCAGACTTTCTGCACTTGTTACCGTGTCCAGAAGGTAAAGATGGATACGTTCCTTTTGTCTGTTTCCTCGCTTCAGATTCCGCTGATTATCAAATTTACTGTCGCTTCCGTCAACTTGAAAGGAATCAATGTTGTTTAATTGCCGATGTGATAAAATTTAGTCAGTTTCCCCCTGTGGTTTATTTTAAGATTTGTAATAAAAAGCCGTATCCTCTCTGAGCCATCCCTGATTGACGTTTCCCGGGTTTGAAGCATTGATCGCTAATGTTGCCGGCATCATGACTTTTGGTCATAATCCCTGGTCACACAGCACATACGGGTTTCATTGATTTTGACAGCGCCCCGTTAAAAAAAAAGACATTGATAAATTGGAAGACTGCCAACACGTAGCTAGATAATAGGCCTCTCGTCATTTCCTACAGACCAGCCACGTGCATCGGCATTTTGAGGGTCAGATAACATGCATCGGCTGCGTCATATTTCGAACACATTTCGAGCAACAAGTGCGCGTGTTTGGAACATTTTCAACACTGCGCAATGCGTGCTTGATTGCGTAAAATACACAGTTGCAGTTCTCCTACAGAGATGGCCATATTTCAGAGAGACCTATAGACCAATCCTTTAAGCCCCACCCCAGTAGCGTTTTGACCAATCAAAGCTGTGCTAAATGTCGGACATGCGTGTACAGAAACCAATGTGTATGCATGTGCGTATGACACGCTCGCCTGGAACATGCATTGTGGCATTGGAGAAGCACATGTGTTTGCTCACATGTGTTGTTGCTCACATGTGCAGTGGGCGGCGCCTAACGTTCATTTGGTAGAACACCGGTACATCATTAATAAGGCTGCTGGTTCAAATCCCGCTCCTGTCAATTTCTTCGTTCAACCTGTTGAGATTAAATATAGTTCTTTTGCAAGACTTATGTATGTATTCTGCGGGATGACTTTACACGTATTTATTTGATTGAATTTCTGGACTCTGATTTTTTTTTGTAACCTGAAAAAAAAAAAATGGAGAACAGTTATGTAAATTGTTCTTTACTTTATAATCATGACTCTTTTAGTCATTGTCAGGATGAAGATGTTCCTGGTACTTAACCCATTAGCACCTGTACTGTACTACATTGTATTACATTGTGCTTATTCACTAAACAATCCATAAAACCATAGAGGGCTTGGACAGTTTGGGGTGGCACATGAATAGGCAGGGTGGTTTATTTTATGAACCGTCTGCCTGATTTTAGTCTACAGAATGTTGATTTTCGAATTATTTTTGCTGTTTCCAGAGGGCAAGCCTAGTGTCCTGTTCATACCATTCTCACCGACTGACTGACTGTCACTTGTGACTTTGACTACTAGAACGGTATAGAGAGCCGGGCAGTCCTATTGTATAGGATTACCCGGTAATGCCAATGAATGGGCTGAATCCGGCCATTTGTGTAGACCAGATGCATGAACAGACTTCCATTGAAAAGCCATTCTGAATCAATTGAAAGAACTTTGTGTGTCGTGAAACCAGCTTTACCAGGCTTGTGTCTTATTTTGATTAATCAGTAGAATTGTTTGTAATTCTTTCACCAGGACGACAAGCTAGATCTGAGCTCCAGCGAGGTGAACGTTGCCGATATCTTGCCACCGGATAATGCCCCCCAGGCCCCGACCCAGGCCGAGATCGATGCCGTCCCCCGCAGAAAGAAGAAAGAGGAGAACCCGCAACTAGCTCGTAAGGAGCAAAGAATTTTTCCTTAAAGTGAATCAAGCATAAGACAGAAATTGTAGTGAAGTCATAAACAGTGAACCATAAGTCACCCAGTCTCACAGTCAAGCAAAAGGTTTATGCTGGTCGCATAGGGCCATGCGTCCTAGAGTTCTCTGTGTACCTATTGCACCATCTCACTCACTGAATGACTGTCTGTCACTTGTAAGCCGGGCAGTGCTATCATATACGTGGAGCACTGTGGTCCAATGGTTATGGTGTTTGACTAAGGTGCTGTGGTACATGGGTTCAAACCCTGACGGGGAACATGGTGCTTGTGTTCTTGGGCAAGACACTTTTCTACAATTGCCTCTCTCCACACAGGAGTATAAATGGGTACCTGTGAGGGTAGAGACCAGCATGCGCTGATCTTGAGCTACTACAAAAACTGGTTTGATGGCCTGATGAACAGGGGTAATAATAATTGTGAAGCGCTTTGAGACGTTTGGTATAAAGTGCTATATATGATTACCCAGCAATGCTGATGAATGGGCTAACTCTAGCATAGCAGGGCACTCACGACTTTTACTATTTAATCTTTGGTGCGTTTTTGTTCTACTTAATCAGCTTTGATAACCCATTAAGTTTTGACCTTCATGTTGATTACTTCTTGTATTGTTTTGATTTGTTTTCAGGTAACCGGCTAGCCAATTCTATGTTTGTCACCCCAAGGTAAACAAACTTGACCTTTTTCCTGTTTGAACTTTAACCTTTAACCCTTGGTCACCTCAAGTTGGGAACCAATGATTTTCTGTAAAAAAAAAAAACTTTCAAAAAAAGGTTTTGAACACCTTTTACATACTGTACATGTATGTACGGCATAGACAAATCATCTATAAGTGCACCTTTTGAGTTTTGGAATAGACGACTTTTCATTTGCTTAGAGATTTAGAAAGTTCTAATGGTTGCTCCCCTTAGGCAAACTTTTTGGAAGAGTCTTTTATTTAAAAAAGAGCCCATTCCCCTTGGATTTCAGGACGGAGGATAGCTCGGGAGACCCGGCAAGCGAGGAATTACCCCTCACGCCGGAAGAACCAGAACCGCCCAATTCGCCCCAAAGTGCACCGCCGATAGTCATGCTGTAAGATCACACAATGCAGAAAACAGTAGCGTGTCTATTTTTTTTCCTCCTGTCGCGTGCTGTGCTTTTGACCGTAGCTAACCAGACCAGTGCCTCCCTCCTCCTACCCCCATCCACGCACCTCCATCCTTCTGAAGCGCATCTCTGTCTCCCCCTTTGTTCTAGAAGATTAGCGGTGTTCTGGTTTGCAGGCAGTTCGTTCTGCGGCTCCCTGTGTCCCATGTTGCGTCCTTGGTGTGGATTATTAGAAACAATTTAGCGAAGAAGAAAAATAATCCCCCGAACCTCTGTCCTATGTGAAAAATACCGTCAGTGTTTCTGTATTTTTGTTCTCAACATATGTCTTTGTTTTGAAGAAGTAGAAATAGCCTAGATAAAATAGTCTTAGTGAGCTCCTGTACAGAAATTCCTGCATTGAATTGTCGAGTCTTGCGTCACTGCAAATCGCTGCCTGTGTTTTGGTTGGTCTATCGGTCTACTATATTTTTGTTGACTTCATTACAAAAATTGCCCCTAAAATTTGTCTAAAACACTCAAGAAATTCCAGTCTTTTATAGGGGAAAGTCTTTGTGCCTCTGCCGTATCTTTCCTCTTTGCTGCACATTTTCTTGGCACAGTTGCTGATGCACTTTTCGCGAAAATGAGCAATATTCTGCACGCACCTTTTTCTCCTGTTCTTTCAGATAGAGGGAATTTTCGTGTCCTTTTTTTTTCCGCAGTCTTTGATTCTCCTGCTGGTCGACATAAAACCAAAAATCTTAGATAAAATCTTGTCCTTTGCTGGAAACTTAATCAGCAGTGCAAAATGCTGAAATATAAAACAGCTTCCTCAAACTGCTTAAAAACACATGCCCTTGCCTGTCTAACTTCGTTATTTGAGGAAATCATTATTTTATCTAAGAATTTCCACAGCATTCTTTTATTTAATGAACATGGCAACTTGTCCACTTTTTATTGTTAAGCATTTTCATCTCCTTGCAATGGTGAGTATATTGGCTCAAAATGGCGCACACTTGGGACGAAAGGCTGATGTATTGGCCTGACGTGAATTGTGTTCCTTCTAAATTAAGGCAATTAATTTCGTACTCAAAGAGTTAACACACAACTTAAGCACCTGTTTGGTTTTCGGGCGCTACAGAGAGTAATAGGGCAGTTTCGGTGGCCACAGTGACTAAAGGGAATTAAAACAGTTTTATAGTATCTGTTCCATTTATGTGCTGTAGTCTTTGCAGAAACGCATTGCCGATACAATTCAGTGTGTCATCGTTCTCTTGCAGATTATGTCAAAATGTAGTTGTTTTTGTGGTCATTTTAGTTTAGAATACTCATATTTGTATGTATAGTGTAATTAGTTTGTCATGACATGAAGTGTAGCTTATAGACTACTCTAGCAACCATAATCCAACATTAGTTAGATTGTACCAAGCTCATGCACAAGACTTGCACACTCGATGCTTCTTTAACTGATAGAGCGTTACAAGTTGAAACACATTTTGCATGTGGACCTCCAGTTCATCAAGATGGACATTTGGGCACAGTATCACAGTTTGCTTAAAGATATAGTCCATCATTTGTAATTTGTGCATTTTGTTCGTTTGAAGCAACAAAAGTGTTTAACATCTAAAGAAGGGTGCTGAACAACTAACCTGATGAACTTTCAGCTCAGCTTCAGCTGTATATTTTGAGATAAACAGCATTCTAGGATCTCGAATTCAAATCAAAAGTTGCTGAATCATGTTTTGAATTGGGCCTGAATTCAGCGTCCGAGACACGTTCTCACTGAGCCGATTGTAGCTATACGCGATGTCGCGCACTGATCCGACGAATTATAGCAACCGCGCGCGCGTGTGCATCGTGCCAATGCTTGCGCGCGCTTCGCCGAATAACAAAACGAACTACTAATTTAAATTTTCCTACGGTGCGTCTTAAGCCGCACTGTTGGAAAGGCCTTCTTTGGTTGATTACTTCAAAATGACAGCTTGCCAGAAAGAATAATTTCACAGGGAGTTTAGTCCCCCTACTATCTTTCACTCAAGTGTGTTTTTCAACAATAATTACGCCAGTTACTTTTCGGATGGCTGCAAATGATGGACTATAGCTTTAATGCTGCGTAGTGAAGAGCCAACAATTTTCTGTCCAAAAAAATGCAAATTTTCTATTCATGAAAAAGCTAACTTTCCATTCCAAAGAGTACAGATATTCCACGAGTTCTGTAGTCAAGCATGCAGCTTACTCTTCTGACACAGAAAATCTTTGGCCCATGTGGACTCCATTTACAAGTACCCCCTCAACGGTTACAAAGTGAAAGTTTTGGGGGACCACTGGGAGGGACATTGGAACGCATTGCTGATGGTTTCTGACGCTCACGCGAAGACGCCATTTTTTGTGTGCACATTCAGAACAATGGTAATCGTGCGCACGTCACACCATACTCATGCGAACAAGTGTGAGTATGTAAACACCAGCAATCGTGGACTAGGGACAAAAGGGTTAGGGCTCAAACAAAGGGTCCACGATTGACCAATAGTCTACGATTGAAATTCCTGTACAAAACCAATACGAGCTGTTGCTACATGTATAAAGTTAAGAGTATAAATGAGGGAATGAGGATTAGGGACAATAGGGGGTCCACTATTGCCGGTGTTTACAAAGATGTGTGGTGTGTCCCTCCACTGGAATTCTTGAAAGTGGTCAAATTGTGCCATCTATTGTTTGCGCGCGGAGTCCATCGCCTAGCTAGTACATGTACCTAACACCTAATTGTGTGAAACCTTCCCCTCTGCATGTTACACTACTTCTTCCATCTCCAAACTCAGTAACTGACATAAGCACTGTTCCTTATTTCTCCGTGATTTAATCTGTTCATAATAATGTGTCATTCCTAGGGTTAGAAAATATACTTGTATACATCCATAAAAAAATTAGTTCAGATGATAAGCAAGGCCAAGCACTGTTCTGTAGAGGGTAACCATTCCTTTCTCGAAATGGTGCCTTAGCTCCCATTCATTTATAGAGTAAAACTTTAAAAATGCTCACGAATAGGCCTATTTTGTTAACCAAAACAGAGAAGTACTTCAACAACACCCCCCCCCCCTTCATTTTATGGTTTAGAATTGCGCCTAGGTAGTTTTAACAGGCTTAAATATTCAATGAACAGAAAACAGGCTAAAACGTGTGTATGGAAAGGCAGCACAAAACTAGAAATACCCGGCCAGGTTCAAGCCACACACATACACATGTTCCAATCTCGTCAATCATGGCCAATTTAGTCTAAATCCCCTAACAACTCTTGGGCGGATCTTTGCTGGATTAACACATCTCAGCAGCTGTGAACAAACTTCAGTGGAAGTTGTACACGATTACAAAAGAAACCTTGTGAGCCCCTTTAAAAATGCTCCAAAACAGCACTTAATACTGTAGTTCCTTACAATTTTAGAAGTCTGTTGATTTCTAAGGTAGAAAAGTAGCTATATCTAGTTATTTTTAGTCAAAATGCATTAGTCAAAAGACATTTGTAATAAGGTTTTGTCCTGCCTTTGCTTTTGCTTGATCAAGGACAATTAAGTTTGGGTGGAATGACAACACTAGACAAAAACTCCTATTGTAGGTTTTTAGGATTCTAATGAATAGTCAATGTTGACTGAATTGTGACTGAATTATGACTTAAAATACTTGATTGCTTTTGGATCTTAACTAGTTTATTTTTGTTACATATCAAAAACAAAATCATTATAAAAAAAAATAGAATTCACAATCTTTCTCTGCCTAAGGAAATTCTGTTTTATATCTGTATATATTTTTCTGAGAACTAAAAATGTCATCTTTGTGATCATTATAGTTAATACAAATCGTAGTTCACTGTACTTATAGCTCCCCATCGAGTAAAATAGGTTGTAGGCAAAAGTTTAAAAGAAAAACAAATTATACATTCCAGCTCTAATATAGAGCCATCAAAATGTACCACTTGCAGTTTTACATTTTGAATTTGATCAGCTGCAGGAACCCCACCCCCCAAAAAAACCCTGAAAACACTTGATATGCAAAGCTAACCGCCCTCGCTTAACTTGAAACAAGACTAGAAATGGTAACCTGGTAATTTCCTCATATTTCTTATCAGTGTCGGTTTTCGGTTTATATTGATATTTTCTACTTCTACCCTTTATTCTCTTCTATCTTTTCTCTTTCTTAATCTCCGTTTTTTTCCATCTGCCCCTCTTCGCACCATTCGGCCCCTCCCCACTCAGCACCCTTACTTCACCCAGGTCTCGCCACCCTTTCCAAACAGCTGAGGAGTCGGACAGCGAGTAAGTTTTTGCGAAATTTCATCCTCCGCAAACGCCCACTTATCCTTCATGCTCTCATCCCGTGCCCACCTTAGCCTTATTTCCAGCCGTAGAAAACAGAGCTTCATTAGAACTGCCTCTTCACCAAGAGCGACAAAAAAAATTGGCCCCTAAATTTTCCTTTTCTTTCAATTGCTTCAAAGACTTGTGCCTCTTTAAAAGCCTGTTAAGATTTTTTGTTCCTTTTGGAATGAACATGTATTCATTTCACCTTCACTTTGCAATTTCATGATATAAGTTGCACATTGCACAACTTCTAACAGCAAGTTCGTTAAAATTGTTCTCACAAATAACTGTTTCCATCCACAAACTTCAGAAATCACTGTGATATTATTGTTTCATCTAACTGTCATTTAACATGTGAACCACTCACTCATCTGGATTTGATCCACCGAAAATCATTTTATATTTCGAGAAGTAAACGAATCAATATTGCAAAAACACATCAGTTCTGTGCGTAAAGACAAGGCAAGCCCAGCTGGTCCCAGAGTACCCAATATTAAAAAAAGAAAAAAGAAAAAAGAAGTTTATTCCTAAAAGCTATTCACTGGACGTCTTTGTGCATCTGGGCCCAATTTCATGGCGCTGCTAAGCACAAAAATTTGCTTAGCACAAAAAAGTCTGGCTTATGAAAGCAGGTTATCAGCCAAAACTCCACGTGATGTATATTGCTCGTGATTAGTATTCAGCTGTTGTTTGCTTAGCATGAAACTCACATGGAGTTTTGGCTGTTAACCTGCTGTTATAAGCCGGACCTTTTTTGTGCTAAGCAAATTTGTGTGCTTAGCAGCGCCATGAAATTGGGCCCTGGTCTAAACAGCGGACTGGATTTAGCCCATTCATTGACACTGCCCGACCATACCTGCCAACTGTCCCTTTTGAATAGGAATCATCCCTATTTTTTCAGATTGAAAAATAACAGAATGTTCTGATTTCTGTAAAATATTGGGGGAACAGTTTTCACCCATTTTATATTCACCACAGATAACGAGGAAATATAGCTGCTCACAGTACCCAGCCGCTGATGTCAGAACCGTTTCTAGATCACGGGATGGGATACCTGTAACCAACTTTGCATATTACTTTTAAGTAATATATTAAGTTAAAATAACTTCTCAGACAATAAGAAACGAACTCAGACAATAAAATTAATATAGGTTTTGAATGCCATTTGTGTTGAATTTTCAAAATGAAAACCAGGCCACATGGAAAACCTAAACACATTTCACTTTTATGGGCATTTTGAAATTGCAAATTGCACCCTATCCACTAGTGTCCCTACATGTATATTCAGGCTTTCAAATGTTGGCAGGTATGCCTGACTCACAAGTGACGGTCACTCAGTCAGTCAGTCAATCGGGGAGATAGGTGCAAAGACGACACTAGGTTGACCCTCTGGGACCAGCACAGATAATTCTAGACAGTACATATCTTTTCAAAGAAAATGAAAGAGTAATAGATACCAATATTGATTTTTCTGTTTAATACAAAATGTTCTTTCTATATTGACTTACTTTGTCTCCATAAACCATTCCAGGTTTTTGTATTTCAAGATATACTTTCAGCCTGGAAAACAGAAATTAAACAAGCACACTAACCATCGACTTTTAAAAAAATTTATTTTATTTCATTAACATTTTTGGCAAGCATTAAATAGCCTCCTTGCTTTCAGATGTAGGCAGATAATTCAAAGAGCAAAAAAAAAATTGCTGGCATCTGCAAAGCTATTTTATTTTTAAATAAAAATTTCAGTATGGAAGGTAAGTGAAGATAAAGAGTATATACAAGTAGATACGTTGTTTCTTTATAAGTCCTGAACGTTTCTCGTAAATAGAAAAGAAAACCCTTCCCTGTTCCCTTAAATAGTCCCACATATAATACATAGCACAACACAGTTTCAAAAGTGTTTCAGGCCATTTAATCTTTGTTTCTATAAATTTTGTTTCACTTGAGAAACAGATTCTGGTATTTACTGATTTTAGGATTTACCACAGACACTGAATGTTCACTTTCATGCACATTGTGTTGGTCATGGAGAACACATCATCCATTCTGTCCATATCATTACAAGTGATGGTGTTGTGAAATGTCATTCAAATTTCTTCAATTGATTTGGAATTTGCTTTTGTGACTTTTTTTGGTAAAAATTATCAAGAGTTTGAGTTTTTAAACTTTGTCCGTAGATGAATCTGAGTACATGATCACTGAACAATAACGAGGCCCCCTTCAATGGAGAAACTATTGTGCATGCTATTGTACAAAGCAACTGCCCGTGAAGGATTAGAGCAAGTCCGGGTGCGAACGATAGTTAATCTATATATATGAAGGTTCTTTTTGACAAATCCAAAAAGAAATTAGTGAAGAAATTGCTCACAAATTAGTGATGTTTCACTGCTACGCTAGCAGCTTCTTCAGACTGTTACCATTCCACTCAACACCGTCCCTTTATAGCTGCTTGAAGCTGCCATAGAGGGCGTGGTGCGGATGAGTTGATCAAAGACGTTGTTCAGTTTGTAGGCCCCCTCGTCCTTGTTGAGAATGTTGTTGTCTCCCCTCTGAGCCATCTGGTGGTTCTGTCCGATTCTCTGTCTTTGACTTTGGCCTTGTCTCAACCAATATTGTGATTGGTGGCGGCGACATGATCTGTAATGGCCAACTTATGCTGATCAGCTATGAAGGATTTTCGGGTTGAGCAAGTGTAAGCTTTAGATCATCACACCACGCCCTCTACGGCAGCTTTGAGTTTGAATAACTTCGTTCGAACGAAGGATGGTTGGACTACTCTAGTCAGCTATTTGGAACCAGAGCACGGGGCATGGTTCCATCACTGATTACCAATAGCCCAGCACATCATAAAACGCAACGGGGAGCCAGGACCAAGGAGTTTTGTGATGACGTTTTGACCATCGTTTGACTAGATTCGTTCGCATGTTGCTATTAGTGTACAGGCGTAAGTTACGTCACAATCGTGTGCCTGGCAGACGGGCATATGCGCGTATGCCCGTACGCGCAAACGTGTAATCACCAGAATGTTCCAAGCTGAAGGGCATATGCAGAAAACTGCCTCTATTTTAGTGAAATTTAAGCATGTCCATCAGAAATTAACATTAAATTGTTCCAAAAATTATGATTCAAACGTGTGACAAATACAAAATTTGTATGATTTATAATACGCACGGGAGAACATTGGATTCAGAATACGCATGGGGAACATTGAAGCCTTTCAATGCAATTTTCTTGAAAAGTGATTTTCGCGTCAGAACTTGCTCTTATCTGAACAATAGCTAGCACAATGCTTTCGCCATTGAAGGGGGCCTCCGTGATAGAGTTGATAGCGTGCCCAGATTGGCCTATAGCTTTTACTGAGAGAGGAAGAATTGCAATGGTTCTTGGCCCAAGTTTATTGAACTCAATAGCAGAAATATAATTGCTTAGAAATCTAAAATGCCAGCAGAGTATCGGTCAATACTGGTAAACATTACATGACTTTTTGGCCGGTACCCTGTTGTTTGCTAATCAACTTTGTTTTTGTTTGTGCTTAGTAAATCACTGTGCCTGACAGCTCAACGGAATTGAGCCTGGGGTCAAGTCCAGTGAGCTAAGCCAGAAACTAATATTGCTTTAAGAAAAGAAAAAGTTATCCGCTAAGCTTTAATTAGCAGAGAACCGATCACAAGCTGTATACAGTGCATGGCGTTGTAGCTGGCAACCCGTTTGTGTTCCTAGCAAATTAGTTTGCTGAGGAGTTTCTTGAAATTGGCCATACTCCATTTTGAAGAAAATGTTCATTTAACTTGTTTTATGTATTGATTTGTTTATTTATTTATTATTATTATTATTGTTTTGATTTTTAGCGGCTCTGAAAACAGTCGTGATTCAGATTTGGATGATGGACAGCTGCAGCTGACCACTGCCAAGCGGAAGGCCCGCCTCTCACTGACGGAGTTCCTGAGTGACCCGAGGAACTTCCAGGAGGATACAGTACAGAAGGTGGAACAGCAGCAACAGCAACAGCAGCAACAGCAACAGCAGCAACAGCAGCAGCAGCAACAGCCACTGCAGCAGCAGCAGCAGGATCCAGTTCAGCCAAGCAGTAAGTTGGTCTATGAGGTCTTGCCAGTGGGTTTACCAACCGACGAATCCACGGTACACTCATGAGGCCCCCTTCAATGGAGAAATCATTGTGCACCCTATTGTACAAAGCAACTGCCCGTGACAGGTTATCTGAAGAATAGCCGACACAATGCTGTCCTCATTGAAGAGAAATTGATAGCGTGGAATTGATAGCGCACCCGGTTTGGTCTATAGGCCAAATGGGTATCTTGTGAGCAGTAAAGTGTGGGATAGAATTTTGGATTTAGAAACAAAACCATGTGATGTTGTAAGCTTGCCGTCTGTTGGACTAGGAGCCCATAACGTACCGTATTTTGTTTGTTCAAGAGAATTGGCACATGTGTCAGTAAATGGTTGATTTTACTTATTTCAGTTGTTGGGGTTATGTAGGCTATGTTCCAATCTCGTGTATAGGGCTTTTGTCTCGGGCTTTGCCCATTACAACTTCATTACAAGTATTAGGAAAGAGAATAAAATTCTCCTAAATACTACTGTTTGTTGCACTTCAATCAGACATTCCATTGAAATGATATGGCTGTTTAAAGCTCGAAATTATCGACATGTCAAAAAAGTAAAATACTCAGAAAAAAATGCTTTAAATTTTCGAGTTTAGTAGTCATAAAAATATATGCTAATTGATTTTCTTAAAAAAACACCTTTATTCCACGATTATTAAAAATTTTTCATTAAAATATGTGTAGTACACATATCAAAGATTACGTATAATGTATATCAAATCTGAAAATCAAAGAGAAAAAAAAACAATCACACCCATTCTATTTGATGTTGCATTTTTCTCCACTACAGCGTGTGTCCACTTCCATCTTATTTTGCCAGCTCACTCACATTATACGGTTTCGACAGTACATAGCATTTTGTGACCAATCTACTCAGGAAAAAAAATTTAAAATTCATGTACGACAACCATATTTATCTTTTTTTCCTCCTTCATTTCAGGGGTGTTGGCGTTATCAAGTAATGAGATGGAGACGAATAAAATGAGTAGACGATTCAGCTTCCTTAAGAAAACCAAAAATAAGGTAAATTAAAAACGATAATAAAACAAACAAACAAAAGATTGAGAGTTCTATGCATTTACCCAGTTGTCGTTATGCATTATCGTATTACAGCCTACTGCTTGTAAGGTTTTGTGCATATTTCCACACAAATCATTCCTGTATTTGGTTAGGCTTTCGCGTCTACGAAATCGCATTGCATGTTCCAGATTCACGCATCATGCTTCAATGCAAGCGCGCGCATGTCAGACTTTTGTTTTATGTTCAAGGTACATGTATTATACAACATTTGCCTCCAAACAAAAAACAAACAAAAAAGCTGCCAAATTACTTGACTGTAAGTGAATAACAGTCTCAAGCATCCTGTGAAATCATGGCACCTGGTGTGCTGTCTTTTTCAAGAAAAGTGGAATTTTTGTATCAATTTCCAGCGGTGGTCGGCCAACCATCGTTGGGGAAAAAAAAAAGACTTTTCTTTCAAATACTACACCTAATTTACCAGATTTAGTTACTCCACATTTTGTTTGCCATCGGTTACACATCCGTGAACGGGTTCAAGCCAGCTAGTCTGGTTCCCTGACCTGATAATTCCCCGACGTCTATAAATTGTTCCATTTCGTCTGAGGTAGGTTCAGGGAACCACATTACAAAAACAGCATTTTCTTGTCTTGCCTTTTTCAACATCTATGAACACAAAATGTAACACCGGTCAGTGTAACAATATTTACTGTAAAATACTAACCCCCAAATCCGTCCATTACTGAAAATTCCAGCAAAAGCAAACGTTGTATATTACCCTTAACCATCGATTGGTCAAAAACATCACGGGTCCATTCATAATCATTAGTCACTTGCGTTTTTTTTAATCTCGACATCTGTAGAGAGAAAAAGAAGAGAAAGAAAAGCGAGAGAAAGACAAGGAGAAAGGCAAGCACCAATTCGTCGGGGTGTCCTTCTCCAATGCCACCAAGTGCGATTACTGCGACAAGTCGTTGTCCAACAAAGACTCGCTACAGTGCACAGGTAAGACGTCCTTTGAGACAGAGTTGTAACAAGTCACTGATTTTTGTGACTCGAGTCCAGTCGAGTTGAGTCCAGAAGGTAGAGTCGAGTTGAGTCGAGTCAAATATTTAGCTTGAGTCAATTCCAGTCACGAACATTTGAACACTTTATGCCAAAATTTATAAAAGGAGGGTATAAGTTTAGCTGGCATTGGAATCCAAGAACTTAATAAGAAATCGCCCAAAGCCAATGATGAACCAACGAATTGGAAAATGTGTTTAAAATCCGGTTCCTGGATAGTATTTTGTGTGTTCTAGAACCATGAGGTGGGAGTCTGTGACACGTTGTATGTTTGTACATGACAAGTTGCTACTGGACCGTACTGTATTTGCAAAGTGACGTGAACATATATTTTGCACCCTAAGTCATTGCAAATACTTTTCGCAAAGTTTTGCTTTTATTTTTTAGGACTCAAGTCTTATTGGCCTTCGCTCATTTCGAGGCGAGTCTTCTGATGACGGACTCGAGTCGAGTCAAGTCATTTGCTCGCAGTGACTCGAGTTGAGTCATTTACCCTGAGGGACTCAAGTCGAGTCCAGTCACCAAAAATTGTGACTAGAGTCGGACTCGAGTCATGTCAACTCTGCTTCGAGATATCCCCATCCCCTATCCGTTTTGTGGACTCAATCGACATAAATTGTGCTGCAACGAAGTCCAGGAAATAAATAGCTCAATACCGTGGGGGAGGACAAGTCTGTAGACAAATTTCTCGAAAATATTAGCAGTGTGAAATAGCTGAAACTCTCCATGTAGGTTCTGTATGTACAAAATAAGCTGAAATACCAAAAGTGTTTATTTTCATCAGTTTAATTCTCTTGACTTGTTTTGACAGTGTGTCTTGTGAATGTTCACAACAGTTCCTGCAAGGATCACGTCCAGGGTTGTGCAAAGCTCACTAGGCATCCAAAGCAGGTGACAAATATATTTGTGAATTTTTACTATCATTATGAATTTGTTAACGTGAAGCTAATATTGCTTAACTAGTCTGTAGTTGCTCCGGCACAGTACGTCATTGTTACCCCTGCTCATTGGGCCGATGAAAACATTCCAAAGAATATCTCAGCTCCCTGGGGAGGGAGTGTACAGCTTGATGCCGCAATATAGACACAACTTCCATCTCTGCCCTTGCAGGTACCCATTTACTCCCGAGTCGGGAGAAGCAATTAGCGACAAATTGTCTTGCTGAAGGGCACACGCACCATAACCCCAGGCTGGACTCGAACCCACTACCTGCAGAATTACCCGCAGACGAGTTCAGTGTTCCAGATGAGGCCACGGCACTCTACGCAAATGTGTTGAATGGAATGGCCTCATTATTCCATTAGTCACTGTACCGCCCCAATCTGCCCCTGCTTATTACTCCCTGTACCGCCCCAATCTGCCCTGCCTATTACTCCCTGTATCGCCCCAAACTGCCCTGCCTATTACTCCCTGTACTGCCCCAAACCACCCTGCCTACTACTCCCTGTACCGTCCCAAACCACTCTGCCTATTACTCCCTGTACCGCCCCAAACCGCCCTGCCTATTACTTGCTGTACCACCCCAAAACCGCCCTGCCTATTACCCCCTGTACCGCCCCAAACCGCCCTGCCTATTACTCCCTGTATCGCCCCAAACTGCCCTGCCTATTACTCCCTGTACTGCCCCAAACCATCCTGCCTATTACTCCCTGTACTGCCCCAAACCACCCTGCCTATTACTCCCTGTACCGCCCCAAACCGCCCAAAACCGCCCTGCCTATTTCTCCCTGTACTGCCCCAAACCACCCTGCCTATTACTCCCCGTACTGCCCCAGACCACCCTGCCTATTACTCCCTGTACTACCCAAAGCTGCCCGGCCTATTACTCGCTGTACCACCCCAAAACAGCCCTGCCTATTACCCCCTGTAGCACCCCAAACCGCCCTACCTATTACCCCCTGTACCGCCCCAAACCGCCCTGCCTGTTACTCGCTGTACAGCCCAAGCATTCAGTGGGTTTTATGGATTCTTCAGTGAATAAATACAATGTAATACAATGTAGTGGTAGTTTGAGTACTAATGGGTTAATACTGATGTGCAATGTCTTTTGTTTGTGTCATTGCCCAATAGGTTTCCAAGCCTGCCGGCGGTATATCTCGCGATCGCCTCTCCACCGTCATTCCAAAGACTGGCACCAATCGTGAGTTTGGTAACACTGGTACCGGTATGCACACTTTCCTCTACTAACCCTACTAAATACCCCCCCCCCCTTCCGTTTGGCACACTTACATGTATTTCGGGAATAGTCATAATAACCTGTGGTGGAAAACTAACTGAATTCTTCTGATTTCACTATGGGGAATGGTGTCTGTCCATTTACATTACGGTGATAGTTCCCTATTTTAACTATGATAAATAATCATCCTAATACCAACATTAAAGCACACCCTTCCACTAACATGGTGTTCAAGCATTACTATCCCTGCACGTCAAGCCAATGAATCATTCCCTCTCAGTTCAATAACTACTTCATGTAATTCCAAAACAGCATTAACCCATACCGTCGCAGGTACACATACTTGTTCCGTAGTTGTGGAGACTACACACGAGTTGTCCCATGGTACTATGGGGACTGAAGACACTGTGGGAACAGCAGAACGTCCCCAAAACTTGTCCTAATTTTCCTAACAATAAACAAGTTCCACATAACACGGTGACAGCCGGCCCTCATTTACCTTCCTTGGTGGAGAGAAGAAAGAATTGGTGTAAAGTATCTTGCCCTGGGACACCAGCACACTTATCCAAGAGTCTACACATCATTCCTGAACAGCAATACATGTAACCCTACCCTCGCATGTACCCATTTACCCCCCTTGGTGGAGAGAAGAAAGAATTTGTGTAAAGTGGCTTGCCCAGGGACACCAGCACACTTAAACCAACAGTCTACATACCATTCCAAAAAGGCAATAACCCTACCCATGCATGTACCCATTTACCCCCTGGGTGGAGAGAAGAAAGAATTTGTGTAAAGTGACTTGCCCAGGGACACCAGCACACTTAAACCAACAGTCTACACACCATTCCTAAAAGGCAATAACCCTACCCTCGCTGGTACCCATTTATCCCCCTGGGTGGAGAGAAGAACATATTTGTGTAAAGTGGCTTGCCCAGGGACACAAGCACACCTAAACGAAGAGTCTACACATCATTCCTAACCGGCAATAACCCTACCCTCGCCGGTACTCATTTATTGGTGTAAAGTATCTTGCCCTGGGACACCAGCACACTTATCCAAGAGTCCACCCATCATTCCTAAACAGCAACAACCCTACCATCGCATGTACCCATTTCCCCCCCCCCCCCCCCTTGGTGGAGAGAAGAAAGAATTGGTGTAAAGTGGCTTGCCCAGGGACACCAGCATACTTAAACCAATAGTCTACCCATCATTCCTAAACAGCAATAACCCTGCCCACACCGGTACCCATTTACCCCCCTGGGTGGAGAGAAGAAAGAATTGGTGTAAAGTATCTTGCCCAGGGACACCAGCACACTTAAACCAAGAGTCTACACATTCCAAAAAGGCAATAACCCTACCCTCGCTGGTACCCATTTATCCCCCTGGGTGGGGAGAAGAACGAATTTTTGTAGAGTGGCTTGCCCAGGGACACCAGCACACTTAAACCAAGAGTCTACACATTCCAAAAAGGCAATAACCCTACCCTCGCCGGTACCCATTTATCTCCCTGGGTGGGGAGAAGAACGAATTTGTGTAAAGTGGCTTTGCCCAGGGACACCAGCACACTTAAACCAAGTGTCTACACATTCCAAAAAGGCAATAACCCTACCCTCGCTGGTACCCATTTATCCCCCTGGGTGGGGAGAAGAACGAATTTGTGTAAAGTGGCTTGCCCAGGGACACCAGCACACCTAAACAAAGAGTCTACGTAAAGGGCAATAATCCTACCCTCACTGATACCTATTTACCCCTGATGTGAGAGCGAATATTTGTATAAAGTGTCTTGCCCCAGGGACACCATCCAGTGAACCTACTGTCCTTAGTCAAAATAAACCCCCACCCCCACCGTCTAGATTTACCCACAATATCGTGAGTTCTCAGTACAAATTGGCTTCTGCACTGCATTTGAATGAACTTCGATTCAAAAAAAGTTAAGATTGAGAAATTATATGAATAAAAGATGCACAACGAAAATTCAGAACCGGTGGTGGATTATCATAACTATTATCTGCATTCATCTGAGTGACTATTTGTTGTGATTATGACATGATTATGACATGCATATGCAGAGTCAAGTAATATTTTTTTTCCTTCTCGGTTTTACAGTTGTACATTCTCAGTCCCTGAGGGACCCCACAAAAACCAGACCTGCATCATCAGGGCATTTTCCAAATAAACAGGTAACGGTTTATTACATTTTTGTATGTTTTTGGTAATGTTTTTTTTTTTTCATCTTAAGATTTGCCTCTCTGTGAGTCCATGATTAGTTCATCACAAGTCCAGTTACAAATAAATCATGAATCAATTCAAAAGTCCGGTTACAATTAACAGTAGATGAACAATAACAAAAACATGCCTATATCACAGTTCACTTGAAAAGCTGGTGACTGGATGACTTGGTGACGGACTTGTGACGGACTTGTGACAGACTTGTGACGGATTTGTGTCAGACTTGTGACGGATTTGTGTCGGACTTGTGACGGACTTGTGACGAACTTGTGACAGACTTGTGACGAACTTGTGATAGACTTCTGATGAAATTGTCATAGACTTATGATGGACTTGTGGTAGACTTGTGGTAGACTTGTGTCAGACTTGTGGTAGACTTGTGTCAGACTTGTGATAGACTTCTGATGGAGTTCTGATGGACTTGTGATAGACTTGTGATGGACTTGTGATAGACTTGTGACGGAACTGTGATAGACTTGTGACGGAACTGTGACGGACTTGTAAAGGAGTCTGGTGTCGCTTTGGATGATTTGTCCATTGTATTCTCCCGATAACCATGTATTATCATCCGGCATGGGTGGCTTGTGCGTAAAGCGCTCGCCTCTCACCAAGGTGACCATGGTTCGAATCCTGGCTGCGGATCGCATGTGAGTAGAGTTGTGCGTTGGTTCTCTCCTTTGCCACGAGGGTTTTTCTCCGGGCCCTCCCGTTTTCCCCCTTCCGGAAAAATCAAACACTTTTGTGTGCTCCATGGTCATATATGGGTCAATGTGGCCGGCAGCCATAGGCGCCTTTACGTGCCAGCAGCCCGACCACGTTGTAGCTGCGTCCTTCACAATTCAGCATACCGGCTGCGAGTAAGGATGATTAGCCTCCTAAAGTATTATTATTATTATTAAAAGTACACAATACCTCTCTTCTTTGTTATTCAACAGTTATCATTCCAGGGGAGTCTAACTGACTTGAGGCTGCAGGGTTTACCTTCATCAATTTTAGGAGGGTAAGCCTCTGGAATTTCAATAGCTTTGATTACTTAGTGCTAACAGTTTACTGCATTTGTATTACAATTAACAACTAAATGAACTGGGCCAAATTTCAGGGAACTGCAAACCACACAATATTGCTTAAGCAAATGTATGTGTTTAAGCAAAAATCTGGTGAGGACCGGTCAGAAGCAGTACGTGTCACATGGCCTTTCAGCTGGTAACCTTTTTTTCTCTTTTTTTCTAAACAAATATATTCACTGATGAACATATTTCTGTGATAAAGAGCTCCATGGAAATTGGCGCCAGGTCCAAATTTGATACTAATTCAGCATGTTTTTTTTTAACATTTAACTGTTTGGGCATGATGACTAACTAGAAATGGACGAAAACACAACCGAAAACTAGACTGCTTTACAGCGATAAATGACATTTATCTGTTTCATTATTGCCCAACTCCCCCTTCAGTTCGGGGCGAATTCCATGGGGCCACTTGACTCACTGGAAAAAAAGTTTGACCTCCCAAAAACAGGTGACCAGCCAAATCTTTACATGTGATGTAATCAACTGGTCAAGACTGGTTCCCTGCCAATTTCTGTTGAGCATACTAATTGGCTAAGCGGTGTTCCGTGCTTAGACGCCCCATGAAATTTGACCTGGATTTTACAATAACAATATCATGTTTCATAGCATAAATGCAAACAGTCGCCTCATGTGCCCTGCACTCAATACAATCAATAAAAAGGTAGTCATTTTTTTGTTGGGGTGCTGTACTTGTTTAACACTGCCATGGAGTCAGAAACATACGACTGCTGTGCTAAACATTTCATGTACCATCAGAGCACATTCATTGTAACAGCATTATCATGCATACATTGTATTGTACCAACATCATAGCTATGTAGTGTGACAAGTTACATACACTCTCAGCTTAATCACAGTGATGTCTGTAGCACCGATGCTCCACATATTTAGGCCTTTTCACACTATTGTCTCGCCTACCCGTGTTGATATCAACATGGGTCTGCTGTAAGCGAAACGGGGTCCCATCTGACACTGGTGGGCAAGGCACACTGTTCACACTGACACCTATGTGTACATGGGTCAGCTGTAGATTTTGAGTTTTCTACAAAATAACAATTGCTGTGAAAAGAAATCATAGTGGAGTGTGTGTGAGACGTTGTAACAGCATTCCAAAATCTTATATTTAGGCATAAACATCATTTTGTTCCATAGCATTGTTCATGGTTTAATATTATTTTTTTGGGACACTGCAGAGAATACACATGTAGCATGTGCTTCTTTTGTAGGTGGCTCTGCTTTACACAGGGTTCCAACAGTCATGGACAAACCTGGAATTTAATGCTCTTTTGGAAAAGTCATGTTTGTAATGTTCCTGTGGTGCTCAGTGATCTGATACACTGTGCCCTCTGGAGACATGCACACAATAGGGAACAAAAGATTGTATACGTCTCCACAGGGCAATTTCTATAGATGAAAACTTCTCCACAAGGTTATCACGAAATAGAAATATGGATTTTACTCAAAAACAAGGAATTTCCAAGGTGTGTTGATCCGTTGCAAATGGAAGAGTTTTAGAAAAGGGATATTAATTCTGAATTTCAGCCCAGGAAATTAATTCTGGTTAAAATAAGAGCATTTTGAAACTTCACTTTCAAACTCGAAAACTTTACTACATGAGAATGAAGAAATGTCTCCACAAGGATACAAATTCCAGTATATGTGGTCTTGTGTCAAACTGGAAGGTTGACAGATAGTGGCGTCACCTTCCTCAGTGTGATGACTTGCCAGTGTATTGTAAATGGGCTCCTGAGATGCCAAAAAACAGCGTATGAATTGCTCATGGAATGGCTTCATTTTGTCCTGGAAAAATTCATTGAATTTCAGATTTCTGTGGGAACCCTGTTTTACTGTTGTCATGAAATATATGTGTAAATTCTCCAAATAAAACCACATATTCATTTTCTTCATCATTTTTTTTATTCAATCATGTATGTAATTTGAGCATTAATTTTAGCATGTAGATATAAGCTGAGTCTTAATTTTAGCAGACAGTTAACCATAATCGCGACACAATCGTAACATAATCGTAAAAAATCCTGCTTAACAAGTTTGGACTCTGTGCACGACCAGTAGATGGCGCTTTGTGACTCCCGGGAGGGATGCACTGCGTGCGCGTACTGGTTCGCGCAACTTTGGAGCCAAGTACGCACAGCAAGTTCCTGCGCAAACCTGTAACATCTTACATGAGCACAAGGCATCGTCAGCAATTCGTTACAATGTCCTTCCTGGTGTTCTCCCCCAACTCTCCCTTTTGTAACCGCTGAGGGGGTACTTGTGCCAGGAGTTCATTGTTAACTAATCCTCTTAACCGTGTTATTGTGTGACTGTACCCATGTGCTTACCTCTGGATATGCCAGAACGGACACTGGACGCTGGCATTGGCACCGAGTGGCCGTTAAGTTAGGGGTCAAGTAAGTGACCGTTGCCCCCTGACCTGCTAAGCTTTGTTGTCGAACTTTCAGTGAAGGTTGAGATTTGGGAGTGGACATGAGCTCAGAATTATCGAGAATAGCCGTGCTTCAAAAACAAGACAATGGAAGCCTAGTAAAGCTATTCCCAGAGAGCACAATTTTTTTTTTGCAATTGATTGCCTCTTGAATGCCTATTTACCGGACGTTTTTTCATGCATCTGGTCTACACAGTGGGCCAGATTTATACCACTATGGGGTAATCCTATACAATAGCACTGCCCGGCTCTCTTCATCAGCGTACAGCCAGGTTAAGTCACAAGTGACAGTCAGTCAGTCAGTCAGTCCATGAAATAAACAGGACACAACCTCTTCTCAGCCTTCAACTCGCTTATTTTGTTGCAAACCCTCTTGTGAATCTTACGTAAAGTTCACAATGAAATCTGTCTGGAGAACTCTGTGTACGCATTGGTGTGTAAACAGAATATAGCAGTGTTTGGCTAGTGATTAAAAACCCAAATTTTGTGTGTAGGCAAAACAAAATGTTTTCCTAGATTCCTAGGTCAGAGTAAACCAAACCGTAATTTTTTTTATTTTGCAAATTTAAAGAGTGATATTCTGCCACCATAATGTCCATAGTCCTGGAAAGTCAACAACACACAATTCAACCAGTTCTACTTGTTTTACCCTTTTTTTACCCATTTACCTTCCCCCCCCCCCCCCCATTTTGTGGATTTAGAAAATCAGTATATTTTTGGTCTAGCACCTACACTGATTCCAGTCGTTCCGCCTTGAGTTTAAGCAGGGTACCAGACAAATTTGTTGGAAAATAAATAATTTGTTGGCAAGAGTCCCATTCAAATTCTGTCTTGTCTTTTCCAAATTTTTTCATTAACAAAAGTCACCTTTCATTTTTGCATGAGAAAATCCATGCACTTTTTCCCGCTAACGTTTTTGATTCATTCCCACGTGCACCAAGTCCATTTCCTACTTTTTCTGTTGGATTGGCCATTGCATCATGTTTGGTTTTTTGCATCCAATTGAGTTTATGCAATTATTTTTGTCTTTTTTTGTGTGGAATATTGGAGTCCTTGGTATAAAAGCCAATTTTCAATAACCGTGTTGCTTTAAGTTGTAGAATGTTCAAGAAAGGCAAAACATTGTAGGCTATTGTTTGTTATTTGGCGTTTGATATTTAGGCATTATCTGCTTCAGAGTAAAATTTAAGGACTATCCTTCAATATTGTATCTCGAAGAAATTCTTGAATTGAACCTTTTTTTTTTTAAATTAACTTCTGAAATAATTTGTAGAAGCTGTACTAAAAATGCTTCGTTACTTTTTTTTTTTTAGTTTTAGTGTTCGCTTACATTTTCTTTGTGTTTCTGCATAACAAGCTGTAACATCGTACATTAAGTTATCAGGAAAATACATTTTTTTTGTATTTGCATAGTTAACATGCTTCATTCATTTAGGTTGAAAGTTACAGTTCAATCCACATATAAGTCATGAAAATGCACATGCGAGCTTCATTGTGCGCTTCATTGACATTAGTCATAATGAATGCTCTTCAAGAAAGTCGGACTTATTTTTGTATATTTGTAAAATTATTATTTACTAGATCTTTCAGCAACTTTTATCGAAAACAAATTCACAAATTTGGCGGAAACTTTTGCAATGATTTCTGTGCTGAAACAAGAGTTTACGTTTATTACCTACGCTTTTTTTTTTCCTTTATTTACTTTGTGCACTGGTTAACAGATTAATTTTAGAGATCAGTTGAACTATTAATAGTGGAATCCCAGCTTTGATTTGATTTTGGAGTTTGTTTTGATGCTGCATGAGGTTTTCGTCTGATGTTATGCGTCTTTCCTGAATGACCGAAAACCCAGAAGAAGTGAATACCTCAAGATAGCATGCACAGTTTAGTACCCTGTCCGATATTGACTATAATGCCTGTACTGTACGTAGGTGTGTGTGTGTGTGTCAGTAATTTAAGAGGAAATTTCCCGTTACAGGACAATTGAGGAAGGCGAAGAAATTGAGGATGCCTCAGATGGCACGCCTAAAGCTGCTAGGTAAGGAACCCGTCCATCACCGAGACTTGCATGGATTCCAGTGACGAAGACATGAAATTGAAATCTTTGCTTCTGAAGAATTTCCACACTAGGGCTGTGCCGTCCGTATATACTGAAATTTGAATATTCGATCAGTCGAAAATTCGATCAGCAACCGTATATCCCAATTGCACTGTTTTATTTGTATTTTTTGTATTGCATGTAGTTTAAGAGAGTTAGTGAGGTTTTGTTTTTATTTTCTAAGAAGGAGTATTTTTGTTGACAATTTGGACAGGTCTTGTTTTAAATAATACTGTTTGTTTTTGCAGTTTTTGTAGCTGTTGGATGAGCTTTTATTTCTTTTGAATAAATTATTTTAGTGAGGTTTTGTTGAAGTCTGAAAGTCATGAAATCTGTTCGTCCACAAGTAATAGTGTGGATACTCCAATATTAGTGGATACATCAACATGCAATGACAGTGCAAATGAATTTCAAATGCAATTTTTGTACGTCTGAAAATCATTATTTCTGATGGTCCACAAGTAATAGTGTGGATACCTCAATATTAGTGGATACATCAACATGCTAGGAGAGTTTGAGTGAAGTAGAACAAGTGGATGCTCTTCTAATGGCATACTGAATTAGTGGATCCACTTAACATTGTCGGTAGATTCAAATCATGTTTGACTCTTTCGTCTGAAAAGCAGACACCCTCTCATCAGTTGATGTATCAGTACTGGTGTGGATGTTATTGGATACCTAAATGTGTTGCAATCACAAAGTGGATCTCGCACTTGTTGGTCCACAAGGCATAAACTGTGGATCCACATGTGGATGTGCTGATGTATAATTAACTGTTGATTCAACACTGTTGTTGAGTTTCAAGTCTTTGTTGATTACTGAATTACATGTACATTGCATTCAGCTTGAATTGTGTTGTTTTTTAAAGGAAATATTAATGGGGGTTTTTTTTGGCTTGTGTGGTGTTATCCACCAGTGGGGATGTGGATCCACTAACAGGAGAGAAGCAATGATACAAATTTACAACACAGTCTGTGAATACATTCTTTGAAGTTGAAGAGTGGGGTCCCTGATATAGTTCTCGCTGTTCAGTCAGGACTTATGCTCAAAACTTTTTGAGAAAGTTTAAGATGTATCATATTAATACACTATGGTGTGGATTAATCTTTAATCGTTTAACAAGTGTGGAAGCTAACTGTGTGGAAAAACTATTAATGGCGTCATATAGAGTACCGAAGTGTGATGTCATCTGTCTTTTTTCTGGTTCACTGGCTTGTTGATGTCAACACACACTTAGGCTCTGCGTGTGAACCAGAATACGCAGGAAAACTTCGGTACTCTATACCAAATAAGTTTGTCTCTGTCAATACTTGATCGTATTGAGTATTTTTTTAATGTAAGGCCAAAAAAAAAAAAAATATTCGGTCTCTGGTCAGACCAAAGTTCCGGAATTGACACGGCCACGCGGCTTTTTTTTTTTTTTTTGCTTTTTTTTTCTTTCTTCAAGCTTTGATTGTACAGACAAGGTGGGGTACTATTTCGCTTTTTTGGTGTCCTCATGTACATTGGTGTCCTCCATAATTTGCCTTGGTGCTTTCGATCATTTGCCTTGGTGCAATTTCCCATTCCTTGGTGCTCTTTGGTAAAAAAAAATTGAGGAGGTGCGGAAATAGAGGGCGCTGTTGGAGCTACCGCGGAACATTTTGGAAAAAAAAAAGATCGACGCGCATGATTAAAATCGACGCACGCGCTGACCAGAGACCGACTTTTTGGGGGGGGGGGGGCCTTAGCTTCCGAGTGATTTTGATCGGGTCAATATGTAAATGCTGCCTGCACTTTTTACATGTACAATACGAAATTCGGAAATTCAATTTTCCATTTTTGAAATGATGAACAGGCACATTTTTTTTGCGGGGATAAAACCCAGGAAATTTGCCTCTGGTAGAAACATTTGGAAGTTTTGTAATCCGTTTATGTCACATTTATGAACTTGCAACAAAAACCGATCCATTAACTTGGCCCCATTGTGCTTTGACCAATATCAGCCCTGATTAATGTCTGACATGCGTGTACTTCTAATGACGCCACATCCAAATCATGTAGTGTTGAATTGGAGCGGCGCACATGTTGTTGCTGACGTGGGCAGTGGGCGGGGCCTAATGTTGTTACCCATGTGTGCAGTGGGCGGGGCCTAATGTTGTTGCCAACTGTGCAGTGGGAAGGGCCTAATGTTGTTGCCAACTGTGCAGTGGGTGGGGCATACAGTTTTCATGTGCGCAGTGGGCGAGACCTAATGTTTTTCATGTGTGCAGTGGGCGAGGCGTAATGTTGCCATCTATGCAGTGGGCGGGGCCTAATGTTTTCCATGTGCGTGCAGTGGGCAGGGTCTAATGGATCGGTCTGTTAAGATATCCAGCTCCTATAAAGCATTAATGATTTGTTCTACAATCCTACATCTGTCAAAACACTACTTTTTGGGGGACAGTTAATAGTCAATGGAATTGTAATTTTTACAAAAGAAATATTTTATTCACTCTGTCAGCCTTAGCAACAACAACATCTCCATGTCCATGGAATCCTTGGACGAAGTCTCGACCCCCTTCGAAATCAACGACGACGACGAAGATCTCGTTTCCAGGGGAACGGAGCCTGAATCCTGGAGTGTTACAGCCGAGAAAAAGGTAGGCTCTTTCTCCACAAATGTTGAAGCCTTAAAAATCAAGCTGTCGTTATTCCAATCATGCTTATTTCTTTTCAAAAAGTTGTTTCAAATTTGTGTGCGCTAGCATTGCCATCTGTGTTAATCTAAAACTAGCGTGGGACCTGATACACTATATTGTCACATCAAATTCTTTTTGTTTGTTTTTAAGCCCTTGTTGTTGATTTGTTATTCATAATTGTTTTAAAGTTGTACAAAGAAATTGACTGAAGCAGGGTTTGAACCTGTGACCTCCAGATTGCTGTCCCAGTGCTCTACGGATTGAACTATCCTGTCTTGTGTTTGCCGTTCCCCTTCATGTCAATGTCTTTGTTCAGGGGGCGCTAGTCAGATTTGTCAGGCCATAAACCCGTTTTTGCCATGTAGCCAAGGATCATGTCCAAAGACACAATGCTAGCAGCATTAGCAATGCTGCAAAATCTGGGAAATAGCACATGGGGATCCCTCAGAGAGGATATGGCTTTCTATTTATTAATGTTTATCGTAATTTGGTCATTGACAGGTTTTGAAGAAGATGAGTCACAAGGAAATCAAAAGACAGGATGTTATATTTGGTAAGTTTACTTCAGACCAAAAAATCTATGTTTTGTAACTTTGTCTTACTTTTTTAACAAGTGAAGGCGCTGTTTCAATGCCATTTTGGGGAACGTGTATCCAAGGTTATCGACTAAGTTTACATTTCCCTGCAATGCAAAAATGAAATTTTTTAGAATTTTCAACTTTCATCGACTAAGTTTACATTTCCCTGCAATTCAAAAATGAAATGTTTTAGAATTTCAACTTTCAGATTAAGTAATGGTACCGTGCTGCTAAGCTTGGTAGTCGGGTCACGTCAGTGGTTATTTTCCTTGCCTTTCACCGTCTGTGGCACAGGTTCCATTCCTGACCTGGTCCACATGCGGATTGGCTTTTTCAGTCCCCACCTGATTTCATGGATTTTCCCCGCGAATATTCTTCAGTGGTTTTCCTCCCACCTGTAAAACTGTAATTTTTTCTCATTGTCTTCTGTGTACAGGTTTCTTCAGGCTTGCGAGCTTCATTAGCTAGGGCGCTTTAAGAAATCATTGGTTTCATTACCAAAACAAATATTGAACAATTGATATTTAAAGGATGGGATTATTCGAGTGTTATTACATGGCGTTGTTATAGCGCAGTCGTTTCGCTCAAGAATATGGCCTCTTCGGCTCTTGTTCCTCACACTGATCATATGCTTGAACTAAACAACGTGTCTGTCTTATTCGTTTACATACAGAACTCATCAAAACAGAAAAGCACCATTTAAGAACACTGAAGATTATGCAAAAGGTAAGTTTAAAGGCAGTTACCCAAATCCTGTAATTATCCAGAGACACTCAATGAAATAATTATAACAGCACATACTGGGGAGTGTGGCCTAGTGGTTAAGGTTCGTGACACATAATCAGAGGGTCAGGGGTTCGAATCCAGGTGCTGGCCATATGTTGTGTCCTTGGGCAAGCCACTTCACCCCAACTTGCATCTAGCATCCCGTCCAGGGGGAGTATAAATATTCTCAGTCGTTTCATGTCAAGGAAACCAGAAATAAACGCCAGCCTGATGGGCCAAATTGGCTCATGACGGACTTAATTTCATACTTTATTTCAAGGTGGTTATTCCTCCTTGAGAACATTGGCAATCAGACCCAAGAAATTCTGATCACGCACATGCGGGTACCAGTGCCAAACTTACCAAGACTGGAGCTGATTCATCTTGTTGAAAGCACCCTCTATCACGACTGCGGCTTTTCTGTGCTTTCTAGGGACTTGCTGCTTTAGGAGACCAAAATCTAAAATCCAATTTTGCACCAAGACTTCTATGTACATCAACCTGTTTGATAAATCTCTGTTTTATCCTGCTCTGCAGATCTTCAGCTACGGGATGCAGAACGAGCTGAAGATGGACCAGTCCATCATCAATAAAGTCTTCCCCTCCCTGGAGGAGCTGGTCAAGATTACCGTCCAGTTCAATGAGGCCCTGCAGGCCAAGCAGCGGCCTGGTCACCCGGTGGAGACGATAGGTGATGTCTTGGTCAATCAGGTAGGTTTGTGACGTTGTGTCTGTGAGCAAGAAACTTAATACTGACATTGCTTTACCGACCCAGGAGAAATTTTCTCAGTCGACCAAAATGTTTTCCCACTCGGGAGGATATTTTTTCAGTCAATTAGGTAGTATCTCAAGGAGACATTGTTATTTTAAGTGGGTTGCATGATAGGGTTTCCTTTGTGATGATAAGATAAGGATTTATTGTGGAGCTCACAGTGTGATCATGTACTTGTGTCCTTAAGCAATAGACTTTACTGCATTTTCTTTTTTTCCCCTCCCGTGGGAAATTCTATTAGTCAATCAGGTAGTAGCTTAAGAGGGCTTTGCTGTCTTCAGTAGGTTACAGGATCAGATTCCCTTTTGTGATGGTAGAAAAATCCATACAATCATATGTGCTTGTGTCTTCGAGCTGGACATTTTATCGCAATTTCCCTTCTGAAACCAAGAGGTCAATAGGGTAAGATCTCAAGAAGCCTTTGTTATTAAACTTCAGTAGGTTACAGGATCAGATTTCTTTGTGATTGTGAAGTAGTGTGATAATGTGCTTGTGTCCTTGGGCAAGAGGCTTTACTGCAATTGCTTCTCTTCAGTCAAGATGGAATGTCCTTGATGAGCATCCTTTCAAGATGGGCATCCTTGCAGCACAGAGGATCTATGGGCACATTTCTTGAACCCCCCCCCCATTTGAAATTGGTCTGGTGGCACCCTTGAATTGCTAGAATTGCTTCACTTGTCTAGTATTGTTACTTGTTAATTTTGTTTATTTATTTATTTATTTTTGCATTCCCCGATCAGTTTGACAAAGAGAATGGGAAGAGAATGACAGATGCCTACGCCTTTCTTTGTAGCCGGCAAATTGACGCTGTGGCACTATATAAGGAGTTGTATAAAACTGATAGAAAGTTTCAGGCCTTCATTAAGGTAAAGTACACATCTTGGAATCTGTATCCTCAACTTTAAAATTACTTTTGGATTTCTCAGTGTCAAATTTCATATTTACTTATTCAATACTGTTAAGGATTTCTGAAAGTTCCATGTTGCGGCACAAATGCATGGCAAAAAAAGAGAAAAGTGGCAGAATTTCGTCTTAAAGTTTCTTTCACTGGAATAGAAACAAGTTAAAAACAAAGCCAACTCTTTGATAACCATTTTGCTGAATTCATGTTTTTTGGGGGCTGAGTTATTGAAACTGCTTAGCACATAATTTCGCTTATTACTGAAAAAAATCTAACATTTTGACTTGCATTGACTGTTCCCCCAGAAATGCAGTACCAATGCCCTATGCAGAAGATGGTCCATCCCCGAGTGCATACTAAGTGTTACCAACCGACTGACGAAGTACCCTCTACTTATAGGAGGCATTCTCAAGCCATCCAAAGGTACGGTCTGTGGTTTAGCAGAGCGATGGCTGAGATATGCTGCTCATGCTATTTTCAGATTTCAACCCGAAAAATCGATGCTTTAATAGAAATCACTATATATATGGGAAAACCAAAGTTAGTCGCTATTGAGTGAGAAATTGAATGAAAAAAAAAACATCGGCGCATGTTTTGTTATGCAAATTGCAAATTATTTGCGGCTGGACAGTAGTTCTGGCGGGGAGGGGGGGGGGGATAAATGTGACATATCATCTTGCTTTTCCCAGTTTCACCTGTTCGATTGTAGTGAATTCACCTTGTGAGGAACAGACTATTTCTTTGACAGTATTAGATTAATCACCAAAAAAGACTTCATAATTATTTTTTGAATGGACATGTTGACTGCTAGCTTTTTATCCCCCTGGCTTTCAAGCCAGACAGGGGGATATTGCGATCGCGTATTCCTTCTGTGTGTCTGTGTGTCCGAGTTTGATTTTGCATTCAATAGGGGACGTTGAACAATAGAGGACAATAGGGTCCCCAGTTCCCAAAGGTCCCCAATGTCCAATCGTGTACAAAACATATGGGAAGTACAAACAAAAGAGGGACAGTAGGGGGTCCCCGATTGCAGGCAAATACATAATTGTGTGTGTGTGTGTGTTCCAATTCACTCATCAATCTCAACCAAACCTGAAAGGTGGTCTGTGGAGAGAAGCCCGACGTCAACAAAATCCTTTCCAATATGGATATTTACGAGGTCTCTCGGGAGTGCAGCTCACATTGTTTTCACTAACTGCATGTTCTTATACACAAACTGACTGACATATGTTAGATTCACCAGACCTCTTAAATATCTGTGTTGGAAAGATTCTTTTGACGTCGGCCTTCTGTCCACGGACTTGCGGTGATATTGTGGGTTTCAAGGAGACATTTTGTTTTCCTTGTACGATAATTCTGTGTGTAAGGTTTACTTTTGACTTATAGCTAGTGTTTATTTTATCTGTGTTTTATGATTTGATTTAATTTCCTTCTTTTGCTGTAAGCACATGTTTTACAAAAATGTTTTAGTCGGGCAGTTCTTCGCTTGTTCTTCAAGTCGTTGGTCTGTGATTTGCTTGAAATATCTGGACCACCTGTTGGTTGTTTCAGTGGACGAAAACATATGTACATGCGCCTATACACACTTCGTCACAGCCCAATATTTTCGTTACCTTGCACATGTACATGTACATCTGACTGTGATGACGGTCCTACATGACAGATGTCACTAGAACAATTTTCGAAAACAGCATGCCGTGGGATCGCGCAAGTTTGACTTGCCCTATTTTTTTTTTTATTATGATTGTTTATTTTCTATATTTCTGTTACAGGTGCCAAAGTTGACAGAAGTGAATATCCAAATCTTCAGAGAGCAATGCAGCTTGTGAAAGTAAGTAAGCCCACAAACATGTACATGTATGATGTGTTTAACAGCTCTAAATATTAATACTGGCTTCCGCTTTTTAACCCTACAATTAAAAGCCTTCAGCTCGGGTAATTATCAGCATCCAGACTCCAACCGGTCTTAAACATAGCGTATAAAATCGGCCAAGTATGTATTTATTCCCTTATTATAAACTGGCATTGTTTTGGTGGTTTTTTTTGTCAGAACGTCTGCCAGGGCGTCAACGTACAGGTCAAGGAGTATGAGCGCCACCAGAGACTGATGGAGATCTATAACAAGCTGGAGGCACGGTCCACGGGCCTCCTCAACAGCGGCAAGAAATTCAAGGTAAGGCAAATAGGAAGAAAAAGAAGAAGCCTAGTAATGCTAGTCCCAGAGCGCACTACAAAGTGACAGATGTGATAGTATTGCACACAGTACATCACTTCTTGGTACGGCAACTATTGTGGTGCGATGGACGAACTGATTCAGAATGGCTATTCGCTGGATGTTTTTTTGTGCATCTGGTCTACACAATGGGCCCTGAGTTAGCCCATTGATTAGCATTACAAGGTAATCCTGTACAATAGCACTGCCCGGCTCACAAGTGACAGTCTGTCAGTTGGTCTTTGAGATAGGTACAAAGAAGACCATAGGCTGATCATCAGGGACCAGCAAAAACTAGATCTTGCTTGTCTTCAAGAGCAAGATGTGGTAATATCAGAATCCCATTTTCTTTTTATCTTCGGAAATCAAAACTTTGTTTTTTAAATCCCACGTTTCTTTGGGTCTTTAGAAATGAAAAGTCCATGTTTCATTGAATCATCAGAAATCAAAAGCCCATATTTGTTGGTATGTTCGGAAGTAAAAACCCCAAACATTTCTTGCATCTTCGGAATTCAAAAACACACATTTCTTTGAATCTTTAGTAAACAAAAACCACGTTTCTTGTCATGCTCAGAAATCGGACCTACTGTCCAGCAATCGTAAGCTGAGGCACGAGGGGGAGCTGAAGTGGAAGTCAGCCCGTGGCAGACTGACAGAGATCAACGCCGTGGTGCTAAGTGATGTCATCATCTTCCTGCAAGAGAACAACCAGAAGTACACATTTGTGTCCCAAGACAACAAGGTATTAAGATTGCAAGCCAGATCGCAAGCCAGTTCGCAAGCCAGATTGCCAGCCAGATTGCAAGCTAGATCGCAAGCTAGATCGCAAACCAGATGGCAAGCCAGATTGCAAGCCAGATCGCAAGCCAGATCGCAAGCCAGATCGCAAGCCAGATCGCAATCCACATCGCAAGCCAGATCGCAAGCCAGATTGCATGCCCGATCACAAGCCCGATCACAAGCCCAATCGCATTCCTGATCGCAATCCAGATCGCAAGCCAGATCACAAGCCCAATCGCATTCCTGATCGCAAGCCAGATCACAAGCCAGATCACAAGCCAGATTGCTTGCCCGATCACATTCCAGATCGCATTCCAGATCGCAAGCCAGATCACAGGCCAGATCGCAAGCCAGATCGCAGGCCAGATCGCAAGCCAGATCGCAAGCCAGATCACAAACCAGATCAAAGCCAGATCAAAGCCAGATCACAAATAAATGCCAGATCGCAAGTCAGATCACAACACAATCAAAACTCAACCACAACTTAATAAGTCTTCAACAGGTTAATTTTTTTTGCACCTTACTTGATATTTTTCGAAGAGACAAAACTTGCTTTTTAACAACTAGAGGTCCTCTATAATTATGTAACCTTTGACCTTCAATGGGTGTTCTGTAATGATTGATCCCCTGTTTCTTGTCAGCCTCCTGTAATCAACCTGTACAAGCTGATGGTGCGCGACGTGGCCGTGGACAAGTGCAGCATGTACCTAATCAGCCAAAACAAAGCCCCCGAGATGTACGAGGTCAACTGTGACACGGCCAACAAGAGGAAAAAGTGGAAGGAGGTACTGGAGCAAGCTATCCATGAGTGCCCCGATGAAGGTGGGATATTTCAAATAAGCTACAGTTTGTCCCAAAAAAGTGTTCGTCTGACTGTTTTTAAGATAACTACAAAACCATGAGGTCAATTTTGAAACTTGTTGGTAGTGCAGATACTCCTTAGCTTTGGCCTGAACCCCTGTGAGTTTCATTCAATTTTAGTCCTGCATTACTGTACAATCATGAACCCTCCTACTATTTAAGAGGTCACCAATGGTCAAAATGTTTCTATCTCACCTCCTGGCATACTGTGTACAAACCAGTGGGGGTCTTGACCGATATTGACCCAAGTAGTAACCAGACTGACAATGCATGTTTCCATAGAGGGTTAATTCATTACAACAACATTTTTGGACACTGTGACCAAGTTCCTTGCCTTATTCAATTTCAGTAACGTGTTAAGTAAGCTGTGTAAAATCCTTCATGTTGTGAAAGAGGGCTGCAGTTGGCATTGGAATCATTTGCCTGGCTATCAGTCATCATGGCAAGACCTCAGTTAATGCTCAAGGGCAAATGATTCCAATCCCAAATCACATCAGCCTTTTTTTCACAACATGCCTGATTTTATACATAAAACAGCACTGAAATTGATCAAGACATGTTTGTTTGTGCATTGATGCGTCACTGAAATTCAATGAAACTGAAAGGGGTTGAGGCCAACAATTTTCAATATTGACCTCATGGGTTTGTAGTTATTATAAAAAATAAAATTGGATAATTTTATGGCTTTGTGGCGTCACTGAGGCTGTAGTGAAGTTTAACAATTTCTGGACTGTGCTTTGTTCTTGACTGCTTTTTTTGTACAGGGATGAAGAGTTTGAAGCAGCCTTTTGAGATCAGAATGATGAATAAAATAGGTTGAAGAACTTGTTGTTTTCTTTGAGTCTGTATTTAAAGCTCACACTATACCCGGGCTTTGCTGTGTTTGGGCTAGCTTTTTTTTACCAGAAGGACTTTGTAGAAAATTCCTAAAACTTATCTATTGATGTAAATTGTTTCTCTTGGATTCCTGTACATTTTTGTTGGAATATCCGTGATTCCTAACCGTTTTTTTTTTGTACTTTGAAATCAAAGGGATATCTATTTCCATTGCATCATCACCGCTATGCTATAAATGGCAAGAGGCATATGTGTTGTTTGTGATCTGATACATCGTGCCCTCTGGAAACATGCACACAATAGGGAACAAAAGATTGTATACGTCTATGTCTCCACAAGGTTTTCACAAAATAGATATATGGATTTTACTCAAAAACTAGGAAATTCCAAGGTATGTTGATCTGTTGCAAATGGTAGTTGAGTTTTAGAAAAGGGATGTTAAGTCCGAATTTCAGCCAAGGAAATCAATTCTGGTTAAATTGAGAGCATTTTGAAACTGTACTTTCAAACTCGAAAACTTTAGTACACGAGAACAAAGAAATGCCTCCACAAGGATACAAATTTCAGTATGGGTGTGTTCACGACTTAATTTGATTACTTGCAAAGGGGGTGTTAGCTCTCGCAAAGTGGGCAGTCGCCTGAGGCAAAGAAGCCACCTTAAGGATTGGGAATATGCCTTGAGACTTACTATTACACTACTTCTGAGTGAATGTGCCTAAACAATAAGAACATCTGTGATGCGAGCAAGCCAAATGAGTCGTTTGTCGGGAAATTTCATTTGGAGTTACAGGCCAAAATAGGGCCACTTCATCACATCTCTTGGTGTTCCGACTTCCATAATTTTTGAACTAAAGATGGTATCAGCATGCGGTTTTCACAGCAGTAATGCTGAGATTTGTGCTCTTTTCAAATCTGTAAAAAAAAAAAAATATTAACCAGGGTCGACAAACGACTCATTTAGCTTGATTGCATCACATAAGATATCAATGAAAGGCATCAGTGCACATGTGCAATTATTCATTGCATCACATGTGATATCATTGAAAAGCATCAGTGCACATGTACAATTCTTCATTTCAACTTATTGTAAATCACAGATGAAGGTGTAGGAGAAGAAGAAGCAGAAGAAGAGAAGAGATTAGCCGAAGCGAGAGCCGCCAAGATCAAGAAACTCCTGGGTAAGATTCTGCATCCCAGTCCTTGCTGGCCAGCAGTCCTTGCCTCGAGGCTATGGTCTTGACGAATGGGGCTGTTGTCACGGCCTCACTTCTCCGGCGTGCTAGCTTCTTGGGGTGAATTCGACAAATATATAAGCACGTTAACCCTAACCGCCCTGAATCCTCCAAAATCCTTTTTGCAAATTGGAGGAATTTGCAGGATTGAGGTTACATGGCAAAAGTGCATTGCTGATTTCGGTGTACGCACTGTGTCAAGGTCTTGGGCCGGACCTTGTGTTGTTTATGCTCAGCTGTGCATAAATTTAGTCCTTGATTATACTTGACATCCTCCGCACTGCTCCAGGATGTCACTGCCTCTGCCTCAGCCTATTGACAGTTATAGCCGGAGGATTTTGCAGGATTCAGGCAGTGGTCACCCCTCCATGGACCATATTCAAGAAATAACAGAGGAATTTGCAGGATTGAGGCTACATGCTATTTTTCCATGAGGCCAATTGGAGGATTTTGCAGGATTGAGGCTACATCCTAGCAAAAAGGCCTAGGGAGTTAGGGTTAAAGTGCAGCTTACATGAGCACAATACATGCTCATGTATCCGCTGTGATTACTTTGCGGACTGTGTTCTGAAGTCTACCAAGTCCATAAATAACACAGTGAGGAACCACTGATCTCTATTATAATAGAGATCAGTGTGAGGGACACCCAAGAACGTGTTATGTAACACTTTCTGTGGGTCAAGTCATTCCATGGTCCTGCAAGCATTCGGATTTATGTTCCCAGCGTCATGTGCGTGAGGAATAATTAAGAACGTACTCCTTGGTCTGTGTTCCTTACTCATTCATGGCCCATCACATGTCCAATTTGTTTCTCTTTTTGCAACCACAGTTTAAATTAAACGTGCATCCTTCAAGTCTTCTTGGTTATTGGGAGCATGTTGGGAGTTGCGGGCCCTGAAAATTCTGGATTCGACTGGTACCCTGTAACGTATACATAGAAATATCGTAAGATTTTACGTGCACCAGTACACTGAACCCCAGGGAACTCAGCGCACAAAGTTGGCGAAATGTACACTACTCCGCAATCTTGTGCATGCGTGTTGAAGCAAAATTTCCCTCTCGGAGAAGCTAGCATGCAGGAGAAGTGAGACTGTGACACCGTCTCTAGAAATCAGTAGACTGCGTGAACCTGTAAAGGTATTTGGAGGGGAAAAAAAAAATTTGAATGAAAAAAAAATGGTCATTTTGCAACTGATGACTTTATTTTACAGAACAAATGCAAGAGAAGGATAATCAACTGAATGAGATCATGGAGGAGAAAGCAAAGCTGGTAGAGGAGCTTAAAGACACACTCACCAAAGATGATGCCTTGGGAACGGTATGTACTGACGAAGAATTACCCTTCGAAATACCGTAAGGGTCTTGACAGACTTGATTTTGACACTAGCCAATCACAAGTCCAGTCACATATAACTGGGGACAGCAATGACAAGGGAATGCCTTTGTCACATCAAACTTGGCTAGCGTGTCACTCACTTGAGCTGGAATGACTTGTGATGACTTTAGTTAGATTCGGATAAACTATATGTAATACACGGACAGAGACATTCCTTTCTCGTCATCCCCTATAACTTGTGCCCGGACTTGTGATTTGACTTGTGATTGATTTGTGACTGGCTTGTGACTGACCTGTGACTGACCTGTGACTGACTTGTAATTGACTTCTGACTGACTTGTGATTGGCTTGTGATTGACTTGTGACTGACTTGTGATTGACTTGTGACTGACCTGTGATTGACTTGTGACTGACTTGTGATTGGCTTGTTGACTGACTTGTGACTGACTTGTGACTGACTTGTGATTGACTTGTGACTGACCTGTGATTGACTTGTGACTGACTTGTGACTGGCTTGTGACTGACTTGTGACTGACTTGTGACTGACTTGTGACTGGCTTGTGACTGACTTCTGACTGACTTCTGACTGACTTGTGACTGACTTGTGACTGACTTGTGACTGGCTTGTGACTGACTTGTGACTGGCTTGTGACTGACTTGTGACTGGCTTGTGACTGGCTTGCGATTGCTCTGATGACATTGGTCTGGGACCAGCTTCAGTAGGATTACCTAGGCTTGTTAATTTAAATGTTTTCTATTTATTTTTTTCGTCTCCAATTCAGTTGAAGTCACCAGTGATTGCTGACAGCGACTCCCAGATGCAGGAGGCCAAAGAGATCCTGTTGGCAGCCATCGCTGAAGGTTTGTGTCTGTCCATCAAACCGTTTGTCTGTCTGTCTGTTGTGTACCTCATGTTGGCCAGTGCGCACATTGGGCAACAACACCTCTCCAGTACTACCCTGCATGTTTTAGTGTCACGTCATGGGCACATGCACGTATGGCCTGGAGGCTTATTCATACCTCACGCAAATGCGAATGTTAATGCAAAGGGAATGTGACGAGTTGAACTGTGTTTATTCTCTTGTAAGTTCGGAGCAGGAAAAACTTGAGGTGATGTCACAAATTTACTGTCAGGTTTGGTTTCTGTTTGCTTTTGAGTATGATCTGGCCTTTCTTAATGCCACTTTGGGATTTCTGTTTTTTGCAGCACATCGTCTAACGACGGCAGTCTACAGCGCCGGGGTGGGGCTGACCCGTAGCGCTAGCAGCGCCGGTGAACGGGAGAGTGGACTATTCCAAGCTCACGCCCTGCCCAAACGAGCCGAAACCTTCGGTGGCTTTGACAAGCAACAAGGTGGGTTCCTCGTGAAAAAAAATGTCAAATTTGTTATTCTGTTCTCGTAAAGAAACGTCTTACACTTCAGTCAGATTTGTGCTAGTCCCTGAGAGGGCTGGCCTACAGTCCTATTTGTTCCTCCCTGACTCAGAATTACTTGTGAGTCGGGCAGTGCTGTCTTATAGGTGTACCCTGTAACGTCAATGAATGCTCTAAATCTGGCACATTGTATAGGCCAGATACATGGAAAGAATGTTTTGAATCAATCAAATAGAATTTTGTGCACTGTCAGACGGGCTTTACTAGGCTTATCCTTATATTGTTTAAAATTGATATCAAGTGCCAGTTGTAACTAACCAACCTAGTAAATACAGGATAGAAACTGGTCAAGTCACTATAAGCATCTTGACTCCACACCTGGTGCATATAACAAAATGCAACAGTTCAATTTTTTTGATCGGAGTTTTGAACAAAAAACCTGGATTTCTGGGTGTTGTATGCTTTGGATTTTTCCAGAGTGATCCAGATTCGTGGATAGCAAAAAGCCTAAATGAGAAGTTTTCACGACTGTATTTGTTTTCTTTGTTGGATCGGAAGTTTATATGAAAAAGATTTGCGATGGGCACTTTTTAGAAAATGCAAACGTAGATAGACCCTGCGTTGCTGTATTGCTCTGAGGATCTGTCAAATATTTGTTTGCGTGTTGTTTACTTTTTCCCAGTCTCAGCCCTTGTAATTATGTCATGCATGTGAAAACCCTGTAACTAAAGATCGGTGCCAGGGATGCAGTGAAGCCCATCACAAGTCCCTGCAAGTCCATCACAAGTCCTCCAGTCCCAATTCAACCCACAAGCTATTCACATGAACTTTGACAAAGGCATTCCTTTGTTATTGTTCATCCAAGGTTTCTTGTGACTGGATTTGTGAATTGCTTTACGAATGAACTTGCGAAGAACTCGACTACCTCCCTTTTTGTTGCAGAATGTTTTTGCCAGCAGTACACAGAGCATAGTGGTTCGCAAAGCCTTGAAATTTGACCTAGAAGGGGTTTGGGTCAAGAAATTTGAAAGACGGCTGACAATATTGAAATCTCTCACAGCAGGTGCAGTGCTGAAGAAGCGTTTTGTTGGCAGCACTATGGAGACAGACAGCCGGAGTTACAGCTTCCCAGACCTGGCTAAGGCCGAGGGCAAGAGCACGGATGAGGCTGACCACCACCCCCAGCAAGGCTCAGACCCCAACCTGCTGTCTGATAGCTATCAGGAGAGGATACCCAGGAAGGTAAAACCCATGGAATACAAGGATCCTTTGATAATTTATACAGAATAAACAAATTAGGCTATAAAGGATACGGCTCCTTGTAGTGGATGTGTTCTTGGTAGGAACAAGGCTGCATTGAGAGGATACCCATGCACATGAAAGTAAAACCCATTGGATAGAAGGATGTTGCATTGGCTTGTAACAAAATAAACAAATGAGGATAAGGGAGCATGCACCTTTGGGTGTTGTGTGCTTGGTGGGAACAAGCATGTCTAAGGATATGTTCTGTGTCGGCTTACAAAAAATAAATAAATAAGATTGAAGGGAGTGTCCTCCCTCTAGTGGATGTATTCTTGGCGGGAACTAGCATTTCTGTGGAAATGTTAAAATCCCATTGGCTACAAGGAATCTGTGACAGTTTGTGAAGAAAAAACAAATGGGGTTTTAGGGAGCATGCCCCTTCTAGTGGATGTGTTCTTGATTGGAACAAGTTTGGTAAATCGTTCCCATATGCATGGGCCAATTTCACGGCGCTGCTTAGCACAACAATTTGCTTAGCACAAAAAAGTCTGGCTTATAAAAGCAGGTTACCAGCCAAAACTCCACGTGATGATGCTGGTGATTAGTATTCAGCTGTTGTTGGCTTAGCATGAAAATCCCATGGAGTTTTGGCTGGTAACCTGCTTTTATAAGCCAGACTTTTTTGTGCTAAGCAAATTTTTGTTCTTAGCAGCGCCGTGAAATCGGCCCCACTATGGTCACATGCTGTTATGATTGGTTTACCAATGCATAATTACCAATTACAACAAGATCTATTTGTGTTATTATTAAGTTTTTCAAGTAGACAAGTAGTTAGCAAAGCGGGTGCTCTTGACATTTATTTGTATATTCATATATTTTTTCAGGAGCCAGGGTGTCAGGACAGGTTATCCGACAGTTCCAGCCATCTGACCGTGGACAGCTGCAGCTCCATAATCGAGGACGTACCGGAGGGCGCGCTGATAGACGACAAGAACGCTGTCACGCCGGACCACGTAGTTAGCGTCAATCACCTCCTCAAACATCTCAACTCCCTCTTGGTGAGTGATTGAAGGGATGAGGGTAACACCAACTGTATGTTCTTATTCAGACTGTCAAGCAGTTTGCAGACATGGTTGTTGATATGAAGAGAAGTCCCAGATGCTTACATTATTGTCTTAATATTTATTTTTATTTTTTGCTTGTTAATTTGTTATGGTATATTGTAACAAACTTTTCTTTATTTCCTCGTACAGTCGATAACGTCAAAGAAAGAAACGGCTTATGAAAGGTGCGTTACAAAAAAGTTGGAAAACTTGATAATATACAATATTTTTTTAAATATTTTTGTCCCACATCAAACATTGAGAAATACTTTCCATAATGAATTTCAAAATTTCTACAGTAGGGCAATCCCAGTGTTGCAAATCAGACAGTCAATTTTTTTGTACTTTAGGAACCCAGTGAATGAACCCGAAAAACGTATTTTTCAAATCTTATACCTCCATCATCTAGTAATGGCCAAGGAGATTACAGACTAGGAGTTTTGGATCATTTCTCCGAACCAGTAATTATATATCGTGGTTAATTGTCACAGTCACAGACATTACATTTTCAAAGTCTGTCAAGTCGGTGGACACGGAGGCAAGAGTTCGTGAACACCAAAACTTTAAAAAATAAATAGAGCTGTACTAACTGCTGTAACATCTGTATTCGTCTCCTGCAGCATGAGATCGCAGTTGTTAGAAGCAAACAAGAAGATCGAGTCACTCAGCGGACTGGGTCCCAAGCCCCGCGCTAAAGCCCACTCCATGGGCACGCAAGGCCTGGCCTCGCTTCCAAAACGAGGGGTAAGTCAGATGTTCTATATGAGAACTTTTAACACCTTCAGTGTATGTAATATAATGCACAATTTTTGATTTAACAAACAAAATAAACTGGGAAATATTTTGGGTCACATGTTCATCACAAGTCCATCACATGTCCATCATATGTCCATCACATGTCCATCACATGTCCATCACATGTCCATCACAAGTCCCTCACCTGCGCATTATATGTTCATCAGAAATCCATCCATAAGTCAATCACATGTCAGCCACGAGTCCATCACAAGCCAGTCACAAGTTATTCAAATGAACTCTGTGACAAAAGCATTCCTTCGTTATTGTTCATCCGTTGTTACTTGCGACTGGATTTGTGAGTAGAATCATGATGTAAGACGAGACTTGTGATTTTTGAGTGTTTCTTAAGGACTCGACTACAAAACAGCTGTTCATGATAATTTAGCGAAAAAAACATATGAATAACATGTGTTGGGTGTGATGTACCATTAGCACTGTCCACTTCACTTGGTAAATCTAGAAATTATGATTCTCAATAAGGTTTTTTTTTATTTCGTTTTTCTTTTATTGTTATATTTTTAGGAGAAGAACAGAAGCAGTAGCACGACTACAGACAGAGGCCTAGACTCCAAGGAAAGTATTAAAGGAAGGACATCGGACAGTAAGGATAAGAGCAAACGGGAGTCGTTAGTGGAAGGGAAACCCTACGAGCCGCCGTTTAGCAACGTGAAAGCCTCGGATCAAAGCCTTCGCAGGATAGCCTTCGGTGAAATCTCCTATAACGAGAACAGCGCCCATGCTGGCCATGCGGCACAGGCCGAGAGCCCCAAATCCATCATGAAACACCGGGGGGATTCAGCGCCACCGTCAGCATCCCCGGCAGCGTCGCCCTCAACATCCTCGCAGCCAATGCCTGAGAAGACTGTCGGTGCCAGGAGGCGGGATCCCGTCCCGGAGCACCTCTTGAGCGCCACCAACGAGCTGCAAGGATCCAGCGGGCTGGTCCATCAGCAGCTCCCTATGAAACTCTCCAGCCTGGCGTCCACGCACCCCTCCTCAACGTCCGGCAGCAAACCCCAGCAGATGATCCCGACCAAATTATCCTCCCTCTCCATGAGGAGCTCCTCCCCTTCCACCGCCACGCGGAACGGCAACCGGATGTCCGCGGGGTCGGCCAAATCCTACCAGGGCTCCAGCAAAATGAACAATAAGCGAGGCCAAGGGGCCGAGCAGGATGTCATATTCTTCTGAATGCAAGGAGGTGAGGGACCAGACCAACGTCAGTCTCTTTGTTATTTTAAACTTTGGTCTTTATCATTTCACTGTCAGATTCTAGGCACAGTCACAGTCAATCGCCACAACAAATGCTTCTGTCTATGGCCAAAAAAGTCTCCGGTTTCTGGTATGCGCGCGCGTCGCCGTAGCCATGCGTGTCGGCAAAATGAAAAAGTTTTTTTTCAATGAAAGATGATGTCTCAAAACCGCCAAACTCACTGGTTTGACTGGAATCCTGCTGCTGCACAATTTTAACGTGTTTTAGATTGGGTTATGGTCGAGAATAAGCTTTATGTGGCCTCTCTGGACTCCCATATATATTTGTATAAGTTTAGTCGGGCACCATTTGCAGTCATCAGCCAACATTTGAAGCAAAAAAATCAGGTTAAAAAAAAATAAAGCTGCGTCGCCTTACCACTTTTTGGGCAAGCTCCATACCAGAAACCGGATACTTTTTTGGGGGGCCTATTCTAACTGCTTCTTCTACATGGATGCTTTTACAGAGCCTTTAGTGCTTCTTGTGTGGATCCAATTTGTTATGACCACATAATTCCATTAACAGCTGAACTTTCCCAAAGTATTTAATCGAAGTTGTACAAGTAATTTGTGAGACAATTTCATTTCAAAATACTGTCGTGTTACAGGTAATGAACTGTCAACTAATGAAATGGGATGAAAATATGCTGTGAAGATATTTGAAAGAACAAAAACAATGGGAAAGGTAGAAAAGGACTTAACATTGAGGTTCACCTGAAACAAATTGTTTTTTAGGCTATCAGCTTGACGGTCCAAAAATTGGGCCATCGGTATCCAATGATCAAAAGGAGCAATGTTCATAGCGATTTTTTGGCAAGGTTTGCACATGTAGAGTTGGAACATGTGTGATAGCTTTGCAATGTGAGAGGTGGCAGTTTTTTGGGTGTTATCACTTTAAAAAAAAATTTCAAAATGGCCGCCAATATGCTTGTCATCGGATATTATGTGGTAACAGGCATAGCACCCAGAAAGCTGCCACTCCTGCAATGCTGTCACATTTTCCAACTACAGGGGTGCATACCTTGCCAAAAATCACAATGAGCATTATTCCCCTCATTTTATACTGTCCAAACCCCCAGGCTGCAAAATGACAATTCCTGACTTTATGCTCATTTGGCAGTGACACGTCACATATGAGACAGCTTTAACAGTGCCCTTTTTTCCCCCAGGGATTTAATTGTAATCACAAATTATCTGTATTTTCCAACAGGTTGACCATTCCAAATGCTTCGTCCGCTCCTGGTTGGTTGACTGACAAGCGAAACGACAGTACAAGCAATAATCTCACAATCCAAGGCACAGAGAAAAAAAGAAGAAGAAATTTTACAAGATTTTTAGTGCAGTATGCTTGCACACCATGGTGCCGCTGTATATAGTAAGCAAGCTATACCACACATTGCTAGTCCAGTGTTGATAATGGAGTAAAAATGGACAATTTAATAAAGACTGTAAATTATGAAAGGAATTTGTACAGTTTGTGACTTATCAAGAAACAGTGTGCCATATGCTGTGTTTAGACCAAGCGAAGAAAAACAAACTACAAATTTACATCGCAAATAATTCTTGTGAATATTAAATTAATTAAAGTATGTACAAAGGAGAGCAAGATAGAGAGCAGCCGTTCCACTGTTTTAGGTTTGAGATTTTGTACTACCAAGTGACAAAAACCAGAAATCTTTGTTGTTAAGTCATGACGTTGAGTGTAGTTTTACCTTTTTTGGCGAACAAAATCTGTAAATTATGTGCAGGGAACTAATTTGTTTGCATTTTGGATGTGGGCCTGTTTGTTGTGCGAGTAATTTTGTACATCTGTTTGCAGTTTGGTTTTTTTGGAGGTTTTTAATCTTTTTTTGGGGGGGGGGGGAGGGAATGGAACTACATGTGATCAGTTTTTGTTTAAGATGTATCGTTTAATATCCAGCGAGTAATTTGTTTTGGTTTTTTGGTCTTCGTTTACTGCATTTTGTTAGAAATTTTCCCAAAATTAGTGAAATCTGAAATAGGATATTTATTGTTGAGAAAAGTCAATTTTGTTTTTGTTATAATGCATAGTTTGGTTTTTTTTTCAAATTTCGCTCACTTTGAAACATCATTTAATATTTTTCTTCCTCTCAAATTTTTTACCCAAAACCAAATGCTTCTCTGTGAATCCTCGGCTCGCATTGTATCAGTTTTCTACAAGCTACTTGCAGCTTTTAATAAATACATTTTGCTTCACTATTTGAAAAGTGAAACAAATTTACGACGAGTCATTTGAAGCATAGGCCAAAAAATGTTAGCCAATATGATTTGTATTTTCAAAAGAAAAATTGAATAGTGTGCTTCTATTTTAATATTGAAATCAATTGTGCCTAATAGCAAGAGCAAAACGACAAAAACTGCTGTTTAAATGGGGACTACAAACCTACATAACTCCAAAAAAATTAAGTTCTGTTGTAAACATTCAGAGCAGACATTTGATTTGAGACACCGAAATCGCGAAGTAATGTAAAAAAAAATAATAATAATAACCTTGAAGTCCAGAGTGTAGATAAATTTTTAAAAGCTGAAAGAAACTAAAATATATTTTTGATACATAAATGTGTGTGGAAACGAGGAATGTGGCCATTCAGAAACATCGTCCCATACGAATTTCTCGGAACATCTGCTCACAAAACAGCAACAAAACAAAATTGACATTGATTAAAATGCAGTGCTGTAAAATTGATCAAACATAAAGATACATTGGTGGTTTTTTCGGTTTGCAGTAATAACAATGTGATATGGACTTGTATACCATTGTTTCTGAAATTTCAAAAGATTTTTCAAAAATTAAAGGCTAACTTCAAAAAGGGTGGGTATTTTATGAAGCCCCTCCCAAAATTGGGAAGAAAACTGCTATAAAAGAAATCACAGTATACTTTCTTCACTCTTATGAAAACCTGTTGATCAAACTAATTAGAGACGTTAAAAGTTGTTTTCCCAATGCTCGACAACGAATTCCATTTTTTTTTCATTAAATATGTTTTTATTGCAAACTCCCTTTTTGTTTTTACTTTTCTGGGTGTCTGCAACTCTCTGACTAAAGGGTTTGATTTTTGGCACAAACAGATCAGACTGGCTCCCAGTACATTATTCGATACTGAATATGTGGCGGGAACCAGCCTACCCCACAAGAACAGAATTATTGTAATTCGATTTTGTAATAATTGAACAACTTAAAGGGAATGTACAACATTTGCTTTTGCTGCGATTTTCAGGAATAGATGGATTTGGAGGATTAGTTTGTTATAGTAAATAATTGTTACACTGAATTGTGTCACTTGTTGGGCTTGTAGATACTGGAAAACCAAGAAAACTAATCATGTTCTGGTAGTCTGGTTCCCAGACCCCACTTAGCATGAAACAGAACAATTTATTTACTCTGGGGAATTGTAAGGTCGGAGAATCAGTCTAGCAGGCTTGTACTCATTCACAGGTGTGTAATCAATTGCAAAGAAAGTGCGGGAAAAAAAGAGACATTTTTCTTCAACGCTGGTCGGCCGACCAGTGTTGGAAAAATAAAAATTTTGTGGAAATTTCAACACACCAGGAGCTACGATTTTACAGGATGCTTGAGACTGTCATTCCCCAACAATCCAGTGAGGTATTTCGTGATAATTTGATCATTTCATTTTTTTTTATGTTTGCAAATGTTGTATCTTCCCTTTAAAGTGGGCCAATTTTTGATGGTCGATGTCTCATTCAGAAGTGAAACACTTTTGTATTGATAGAAAAATTGCAATTTAGAAAAGGAATCTTCTCTTTTTTTTTCTGGAATGAAATCGTAAAGAGCTTGAGGAATGCAACTTTTAAGTGTTTAGCCATATTTTATGAACAATATCATATCTATCTAACTGTAACAGACAGTAAGAAAAATCTAACATATGTACTGGTAAAATCCCACTTTATGTCGAGAATTTCAGTACCTAATGATATATTTTCCCCAAAATAAACGTATTTTAAATGATATCATATTGCGTTCATTATCATGATGTGTTCAAGTGTTGCCAACTTCATACAAAGTTTTTCCCACTTTTCCAAAATATTTATTCTTGAACAAAAACAAAATGCTAGGATGCCTAGAAGTGGAAAAGATTAGTGGTTGTCTCATTTCTATAAAAAATACTGTTTTATTACAAAAAAAATTGTTTTACTATCTTTATGTATCTGAAGAATTTTAACTTTCTGTAGATGCGGAAAGACAGTGTGCTACAAATAGTATTTTGATTTAGAATTAATTTAATTGCAAATAGTACGTAAATGGTGTAAACTGACAATGTAAAAAAAACATGTTTTGAGTTGCTTATTTGTTTAGCCATTATGTAGAGAAAAACAAACGTTTCGGGGCATTTGAAAGGAGAATTACCTTGCAAGTATTCCGACACTTATTGAGATAATTCATATTGCTGAGGGAGCTATCAATCTTGGCGTGTTAACTTATTGAATGTGGATGTAAGAAGGGGCAAAAGAAGGAAAACCCAAGTCACATTGCCTTTAAATTGACTGAACTTGAGGCTACTCGGGCTCCTAATAATTTCTAGACATCTTGGAGAAGGCTTTGAGTGGGGAAAAAGTAAATTGTGGCTCCGATTTGACGGAATAATAGTTAGTAACAGCTCGGCACTCCAAAAATAAGAACTGCGTTTGACGTTTGGAATAATAGGGCTTATGGAAAATTTGTATGCATTGAAGGTCGTCTGTCTGAAGACCCAATAAGCCATTTTGCGAGTGACCTAAGTATACCCTTTGCCTTTGGGATTTAAATTTGAAAAACATCTGGTACACTGACTGGCTCAGAATGCTTGGCACATTGTAACTTTGAATTCTCCAGACCAAAGGCACTGTTGCTATTCACATGATTTGGGGTAAGCTCTTGCATAGATAGGCGAGAGCTCAGCACCAATACATTGTTCAATGATTTTCAGTCGGATTTTTATATGACACCGGATTGAGACGGGTGCAACAGAATGTCAAAAAAGGAGCCAACATTTTTTTTTCACTTTTCAAAACTAAACCTCCTGATGAGATGTCGTAAGAAATTTGGAGCCTGCCCTCAAGAAATACCTAACCCTGTTTTCCCCCGCAAACAAAAAAATGAAGACACTTTATTGCTGATTGTATTTTGAATACCAAATAAAGGTGAATATTGCTCCACATTTCAGCCATTGCTTTGCTCACTCTTCCTCAAAACAATACATCCAAAATATTTGTAAAAAAAAACGAGTTTTAATAAAAACTTCCAAAAAACAGTGACGTTAACGTCGTCACAGGTTTTAAGGAACCAGTGATTGAGCCCTCGTGTTCATTGTGAAATATATCCAGAAACTGTTGTTTTATTGTAAACTCTTGCCCAAAGCCAGTCATGTTCAAAGTTGTTTACAAAAAAAACAAAAAAACATAATTTGCTCCGTGTATGTGCTAATTTACACTTAGTTTATTTGGGCGCAACAAACTTCATTTTATAACTGAAAGAAAAAATACATTGTTCTTCTCAACATTCAATTGAGTCCCAAACTCTCTTTCATCAGCTGATGGTTGCTATGGTGTAGAAAAAAAGTTACTATGTCGACTGCCCTAATTATTTGCAGCTGGCTACCCCTTGGTTATCCACGGAGCCAAGTCTCCTGTATAACGTCTGATAATGTCAAAGCATGCAGATTTATGCGATCTCGCTCCTCAGCCAATCGATCGGCGTCGACTTTACTAAATCGTGACGTCATTTTATTCCCAAATCAGGACTTAAGTTAAAGCTACAACCCATCATTTGCAGCTGTCCGAAAAGTAACTGGCGTAATTATTGTTGAAAAACATACTTGGTTAAAGATAGTAAGGGGACTAAACTCCCTGTGAAATTATTCTTTCTAGAGCACATTCGAACTGCAATTTTGGACAGATTGGGCTTTTAAAAGAAAGATTGCGTCGATAATTTGGGTCAAGGTTAGTGAAAATTAGTCACTGTCGTCTCAATAAGCCAAAAGCTTCAATATGTTTAGTGTTTGAAGGTCGATTGATGTTCCTCTTGCATCCAAACGTATTTCTGAGTTGATTGGAGAAGAGTCAGTTTTTGGCCAAATCTGATAAAAAATGTAAGGCTAACCACTTGCATTTTTTCAATTTTGGCAGAAAAAACAAAATCGCTTGAAACTTGCAGGGAAGATGCCCGAAGGTCCCTAGAACACATTCGAACTGGAATTTTGGACAGATTGGGCTTTTAAAAGAAAGATGGCGTCGATATCTTGGGTCATAATTAGTGAAAATTAGTTTATGT